TATCTATCTATCTCTTTCTCTCTACATATTGTGTCCACAGCTGTCTGTAGGCTCGCCTCTCCTTGACGACGTTACCGTGAGTACGCCACATTACTCAGAGATTGTCAATAGCGCGTAACTCGAGAGAACAGGCGCATTAGTTAGGTTAGGATGAGCGCTACAGTACTCTACGGTAACGCGATGTCTTGTGCATTAGGGTATGAGCTTGGGTTTGTTTTTGAAAATTCGCCGTTAGCGCGACATCGAGGTGCCCGCATGCTGCGACCGGCCGGAAATGGCGTAAAGATACGTACCGTGCTAGTTTCATCTTGAGAAGTGTCGGACGTAGACTCGAAGGCGCGCGACATAGCGAGTCGTAAGAATTGGCGTACAGCTCGATCGTCGAGTCAAAGCGAAAGAGCCGTTTGGGAAAAAAGAAGCTGACCTTTGAGTGGCGCGGCCGAAAATTATCCAATTCAGCCGCTACGAATCTCGCCTCTGCTAATCGGCAGCGCGATTGAGTTCGTTGCCGGCATCAATAGCGAGGAATTGACGAACGGCCGGGATCGGGCATCGCGCGCGCACACGCCTGCCGAGACCCGAGGGTACTCGGCGAGGAAAGTCGGTGTCATGTGGCGCGCCCGACGAGGGGGGCCGGCCTGCGTAGCCGCAGCTGCTCGGTCCGACTTCAAAGGCGGCGGCGAGTGTCTCGGCGCGAAGGGGGCGAGGGAATCCGCTCCTGCCCGGGCGCCGCAGCGCCGTGGCCGCGGAACGGGCGCGCCGCGCTCTCTCGCCTCGCTGGCTATTTTCCAGACGCTTGTACACGATCGGCGCGCTGCAATTTGCCGCCGGCGTTGCACACGAGCGTCGGCGAAAATTGCAGCGCGCGAGAGCAGGCGACGCGCGAAGGCCGGCCGAGCGCGACTGCGCAACCGCGCGGCCTCCGCTCGCCCGAGCCTCGGACCGCTCGCGTCGACGAAGTGCCGAGACCTCCTCGGCGCGCGCGGGTCCAGCCGACGCTGGCGGGATCACGGCGACGAGCGCTAACGGTAGTCGAGCGCGCGCCGCTGCAGCGAGCGAGGTTTTTGCGGCGACTCGGGCGATCGATCGGCGGCTCCGGGTTCGCGCCGCGGAAAGGAGCTCGAGGCCGCGTGCGCGCCGAGCTACCTGCCGCGAGGGCCTCGGCCGGGGCCTGGCTGCGGGCGGCGCGCCTTGCGACGTCACTGGTGCGACCGCGGCTGCGGCTCGTGACTCGGCTTCGCGCGCGCCGCCGACGCCTCCGACGGCGCCGTTGCCTTATCGGCCGCCGGTGCCGTCGCGGCGCGGATCGATCGGCTCCGAGGCACCTGGCGGCATGCAACCGGCGAGCAACGAGAGGCCGCGGCGCGTAGGGCGATGAACTCGAACGCCTCCCCTCGGAGCTCGCCGACGACGACTCGGATCGGCGCGCTCGATCGCGCCTCGCGGAGCTGCCGGCACTAATAACGGTACGGCCGCCACGGCGGCGCTCGCCCCGACGCGCTGCGCCCCGACGGCCTACCCAAGGTCGGCGGGCTGCGAGAGCTCGGTCGGCGATCGGCGCTGTACTGTTATCCGAGCGTCGCTCCGCACGCTCGACCCGAGATTCCCACGGAGAGCGCCGCTGGAGCGCGAAACGACGGCGCGCTGCCCGCGGAGAGGCCTCGATCGACTCGGCTGTACTGACCTGTCCGCGGAGCGCCGCCTCGGCGCCTCCCTCCGGCAGCAGCGGGCGGCCCGCGCGAAGCTGTAGCTGCGTCTCCTCTTCAGGCACAGCATCTCAGGAGTCGGCGGGCCGCGCGGCGGCGAGCGGGACCGGCACCCGCGCGCGCCGCCCGTCCATGGCAGTGCGCCTCGAGTGCTCCGGAGCAGCGGCGGGACTGCAGCCGAGCTGGCGGGGGGAGTCGACGGCGGCTCGGCCCCGGCTCTCGGTGCGTACTGAGCTCGCGGCCGAGACGCCGCGCGGAGCCGAGCCGCCGCCACCGCCGCCGCCGCCGCCGCCACCGCGCGGCCTCTCCCTCCGGCCGCTGCACCTGATCCTCGCTGCACACGTGCGCGCCAGCGGAACTCTGGCCCGCGCATACTCGATGCGCCGCGGGCCCGCCGACCGGCCTCGACTGTGCGCTGGCCCCGCTCGGCGGCTGCATTCCGCGCGCGCGCGCGCAGCCACGCGCCGCCTGTGCCTCTCGCTCGCGCCTCCACGCTGCACTCGCCCTTCGGACAGGTTTCATTTGAAGTAAAGCCAACACTCACAATAGACAATATGCTTTTATTTCATACATTTTGCCATCTACGTTCCACTTACAATGCCGTTCGCCGCTCTTTAAAATATCGCTGCTCTCGCTACAGCCTCTCGGCCGAACTTTTATTGTGCTTGGCCCTACCACCTATCCGATATTGTGCTTTTGTCCGCTCTGTTCTCTTGTCCTGCTCGCTCGCGTGTCTACGCGTTACGCACGCGTCGCGCCCCTGCGCCGGGCACCTTCGCGCGAACTCGCGTTCTGCGGCCGGCCGTGGACGCGGACTGACGGCTCGTCGACGCGATGAAACAACCAAGTTTATTGTCTGCCGCGGGTGAGAGAGAAAGAGAGACAGAGCGACAGGGCGTGGAAGCGTGGGGGCGGGGGGGGGGGGGCGGTCGACGCAAAGTGCAGCGCGATACGCCTCGTCTCAGCCGTAGGATCAGTCCGCGCTCCAGCAGTACGGTCCGGGTCCGCGGCCGCGAACAGCCTTCGCGCTCGCAGGATTTCTTTCTCAAGACTGCTCCGCTCGGTTTGTTGCGCGACGGCTCAGCAGCGATGCACGCGTGATCGACGATGACTCACGGAGTAGAGGGAACAACGTGGACCTTTTCGCATCGAAGGAATATTGTTGTTCCATGTGATTTTTACATCCCACCCTCTCGGACTGTCCATTTCCCTGTACGTATTCAGTGGCTCAAGATGTGCCGACTTTATTTATAAGGATTTTTTTTCAATTCAAATGAAAGAAAATGTATAATGTAACGCGATTTTCAGCTACATATGAAAGATCAACGTGGTCAATTAAAATAAATACGGAGGTAGCCGTGCTTAAAAATATATGGGTCGGGGCTCATGACATTCAAAGATTCAAAGAGGTTTGAAAGATTCGAGAAAAGAAAAAGAGCAGAAGGTGATGAATTCTGCAATGACTGAATACGTATATGAAACAGATGGTGAACTATATCGAGTGTCCGACAAGTAAAAAATGAGAGGGAACAAAGAATATGAGAGGAATATTCCCTGAGTGTGCAAAGGGTCGAAGCGAGCGGAAATGTGCCGAGCGAGGCGAAACTCCAGCCGCGGCGACGAATTGAGCATTCGCCGATGACCGCCGCCGCGGGCAAAGTTTCGACTGATGAGCGTTCGCGCAATTGGGCTTTGTCGCCTGGCACGCACGCAAACGAGTTCATTGTTGAACGTGAAATCAAGTTTAATCAACGATTCTTAGCGTAAGTTCACTTTTATTATAATCATTACTATTACAAGTCAACGAGAAATTTCGTGAGATATAATTATTTGCAGTTACGTCCTGGCTTGAATGAGAGTCTACATTGACAGCTTGAAGCGACTTGTTACAATTGAGTGTACATCTAGTCCTGACGCCAAGATCTGCAGCGAAGAGTCCACGATAGTCCGAGGCGGAGATGGCATCGCCGGTGAAACTGCCATCGAGTAGGTTTGCGAGTGTGTGCTTGGCATTGCATCTGAAAATAGGCCTGCCGCTGGCACTGAAAAATCGAGCGAGCAAGGTGCGTGCGATGCGTGCCAGAAGAGTCGTCCGGAAAGCGAGGACGCACTCGGACTATCGAGGCCTCTTGCGCACTCTGCCGGAACGCAGCCTACGGCGACTCCTCGAACGTTTCCGAAATGAATGGAGCGAAGGTCGAGATAACGAAGATCGAACGGCAAGACTGCGCGCACGAGCGCGCCAGTCGTAATAAATAAATACTCATTCAACAGCATTATAGTTTGATAACGGTATATAATAATTAACTTTTGAATTAGAGTCACGATATAACACGATGATATAGGACTGATATGACGAGGATCTCTTATTTATACGCATAGATCATTTGAATATACTTCTGCGACGCAGCTGGCGCGCGCGCGCGTCGCCGACTCGGCCCGCGCCAAACGCAAGATAACTCCGTGCTGTATTTACACGCAGCGCGCGCGCTCCTGCGGTCGAGAGCGAGGGCGCGCGCCCAAGCCGCCGGGGAAAACAAAACAACACTGTGTCTCTCTCTCTCGGCGGTCGCGAGAACGGAAAAGCCGCGCGACGCCCGCGCTGCCAATCGCAACACACATTTACTTACAATATGTATACTTGCTACGGACTCGGCTCTAAATCATTCCGACTACGGGCCTACAGACTGGAGCTCTAGCCTCCTCTGGACTGCTTTCGCCGAGCGTCCCTCGGCCGACTGAGCGCTGCGCAATACTCTGCCCTCCTTCAACGACTCCGTAGATTCTTTACACGCGAAGATGACAAGTCGTTTTCACGCTTTGCGACCTCTCGCACTAAACTTGCAACAGATTTCAAATAGGAATTCCAAATTTATACAATTCAATCTATAACTCGAATAGAACTCTTATAAGCCTCTCGTCAATCAATAATGTACTCGGCACACCACGCCTTTGCACCAAGTCCGGTGGTCTATGTCATATATATATGTACAGTTAACTGGAGAGCTAAGCGCTTCTTTCAACAGACTACTCAAACTCGAACTTTAAATGATAACGCAATACAATCACTTTCGCACGCGTACCGTGAGTTCGCGCAAGGTGCGATCCAATCGGCTCGTGGCTCAGCCGCTCGCATGCTCGGCTGCTTCGTATTTACTACACGCTTAGCGGCCTTTCCAAGTCGATCGATCGCCGCCACGGGGCGGTCGACCAGTCTACAATTGAATTCCATCGAGCGCCTTAATTCCTTGCTGTGTCGGTATCACTGAGCTCGCCAACAGTCAATCAACAGACATGTATTATTGTCATCGCGACGCCGTCGCCGCCGTCGGTCAGCCTCGAGCGGTTCCACCAAATTCCACGGCGCCGGTGCGACGGCTGCCCGACCATCGTGGCATCGCGGCTAGCCGCGCGACATGCCGGCCGATCCCAGGACGACCATGTGCGCGCGTGATATATTGCTTAATTAATGTTCGCCAAGCGCGAGTCACATTCAAACCTTAATTACAGACGCGACTGCGCGCGCCATACATTTACAAGTATACGACTAATGCCTTTACCTGTACAATGACGACTTTTGGACCCGATATCAAGAATTTCAAATATTTCCTCCCTAATCTACCTCAGACCTATTGCGCTTACCCGACCCATTGCGCCGGGCTGCCTAGCCGAACTTTCGGATTATTCAACTCAACTAGTTGCAATACTGCTGCATTAATCATTGCTAACGATATCAAAAATCATAGACAAACGCAGAACAAACAATAATCATATTACGTATATCGATTCTTTCAGCAAATTAGTCGATCTCTTTTCGCGATATTTTGTCTGATTTGTATATCGCTGATTGCAGCTGATCAGTTGAGACTTACGTTTGACGGATAAAATTCATCGATTCGATCGCGCGCGCGCGTATGCGACAGCAACCTTTAGCCCAGCGATACGAACCAAAGAAACGTATCGCCCTAAGAAATTCTGCGTTTGAATGTCAAAAAACCATTGTACACCCTTTGTGCAGGAATTTGCAGCAACGCGTTACAGTTTACTGGTGAATATTCCTACTATCGTCGAAGTACTTGGTGAAAACTTGACTTTTTTGTTTGTTTTTTTGTTTTTTTGTTTTTTCAAATACGTTTAAATGCGGCTTCTTTTCTTGTCATTTTCTTTCTCAAAAGGCGTTCGGGGTATTTGATATGGCAAACGTGTCGTAGTATAAGAGTATTATCGTGCGATTATGTGTGGCTTAAACGTAGTTACAGTATAAAAGGAATTTGGTCAAATAAAAAAATATGACATATCATCTCGAGGACTAGCAAAGATGAGCGATAATTGCGAAATGGTTGGTTCAACGTTCCATAGCGCGATTGGACTAGATCGAATTGAAGAAATGAAAAGGTCGACGAGACGTTTCGCGCATCCGCGCGCCGAAGCTTGGCGAGCTCTACACGTCGGCAGTCTAATGCGGAAGAAAGTCACGCGATACCATTTGTACTTACTAGCTAACGATGAGAAATTATTGACAAGATAGTCGGTATAGCGCTGCGCGCCCGGCGGCGCACCGAGCGAAGAGAAAGTTTGAGATTGTGCAAAGATGAGAGAGAGAGAGAGAGAGAGAGGGAGAATCGATCACAGGGCATAAACTGGTTGCTTGCGAATGCAAAGATCAAGTGTCGTGTCGATTGACAAACTCGTGTGTACAAATACGGTTACTCGGACTGGAATCGCACGCACTCTCGGCCCGATGGCTGTGCAACCGAACGCGACATCGTCGATTCGCTTATCGCCTTATATAAATAATATACTTCTGTTTGCTCAAACTTGAACAATATTGTATCAGCCTTTTGTTTTATACTTGTTAACGCCTTGCGCGCTCGCCATAGACGCCCAACGAATACCTAAACGAAGACTCACGTCAACGAGATTCAAAGATCATGAGAGTAAAACCTATGAACACTTTCTTATTCTTAATTTACAGCCGACACTTTCAATTCGGATTAGTAATCATTGGTCGCCAAGACACCTGGAGCCCGTCGAATCGCCGAAGCAAGTTGTGGCCGCTGCGAACGATGATCCTTCGGGCACGGCGCCCAGCTGAAACGGCGGAGCAGTGGTCGTTAGTAGTCGTCGCCCAGCCGACAGCCCGCCGATACAATGCTTACGAGTAACGACGTGCGCGCCGCAGCGGAGGCTCCGTTTCTCCATCGGATCGTCCAACGAGTCCGGGTTGGCGGTCCCGTCGGACAAAGGGAGAGAGAGAGAGAGAGAGCCCAGCAAGCGCGCGAGCATTCGACCACTGCGCTGGAGCTCGTATGGCGAGGACTGCTCTGAAGCGTGCGTCCAGGTAGCAAATTGACAAGCGAGCCTGCAAGCAAGTCCGTCCGTTGAGCGATGCTCCGAGCTGCCAGTGGACGCGCCTCCTGTCGTCGCTTACTTACTCCGGGTAGACGGTGTCGCCGCACTCCGTCGGCCTTGTCGCCAATGACGATCGTTGAAAGCTTTCGTTTTGCCAATGAAACAGTTGCGATCGGTCGGCTTCGGTCCTTTCAACTTGTCTAGTGCGTTGTCGCGTAACGTCCAATTGCCTCGCGAATGTCCGTTGTGTGTGCTCTCGTATACTCGAGCCGCCGATGGGGAATGAAACTTGCACAAGACAGCTTCGCTCGATGCTCGTTTCTCAGCGCTCTGCTTCGAGCAGCGCCGGGTCGTCATCCAGGCGAGCATCGAACGATCCGAAGAACCCGTCGAACAAAGTCTATGGAAACCGAGAAAAGCAAGCACGAGACAAACGTTCCTTGGCTCTCGTCTGCCTACGATATAATAATGTTCATCTAGTCACAGTCTAATTGCCAGTCTGCAGGTTTGCTTATGCGCATTGAACAGTTTTCATCTTCCTCTCCGTCGCGCGTCAGCGTCTCATCGTTTACCTCGACGAAGTGGTCCGCAGCCGTCAATTATTAATGATTACATGTATTTTGATGAGCTCTGGATTGAAAAGCAGAACCGTTGTATTCGACGAACATTGTTTTTTGTTTTTTTTATGGCTTTTTTCCATTTTCATTTTTTCCTTAACTTATTACTTGATAATCTTACATAGTCTTTTTACATTTGACTGTTGAGCTCTGCTCTGGTCTATATATTTGGCCACATTCAATGCTTTCAACTGTTAAAACTTGTAAACTGCACGAAAATGAAAGTAACGTTCGGAATGTGAGTCGAGCTTAGAATAAACCTTTGAAGAAGCCGCCGGCTACGCCCTGCTGTCGAACCGAGGAAAAAAGGAATGCGAGCGATGAGTGAGAATTAGGCCGATTTGTCGACGGGCTTACGAGTGGCACTTACGTCTTGCTGCTGCTGCGCCGTGGCTTTCAACTTGGCTTGTGCGGTTTTCAGCGCTCTGAAAGCAGAGATCGCGGGAGGTGAGCGCGAGGGCGGCGCGGGAGACCACTACTCGTGGAGGTACTCACTCGTTGAGGTCGCGGATTTGCTTCTCCTTGGAGTTCTGCTCCTCCTGCGACATCTGGATGAGCTGCAGCAGCCGCTCGGTCTCTTGCGTGGCCCGCTTGGCCTCTTCCCGGCAGGTCTCCAGGTCTCGCTCCTGGGCCTCCAGAGTGCGCTGCAGCTCGGCGATGCGCTTGTCGGGCGAACCGCCGCTCTGCGGAAGCAAAGGGCCGAGGTGAGCACGGGCGGCGCGGGGACACACGGGGCGGTGGGCCGCGACCGGCGACCTTTTGCAGCTGCTGCTCGAGCTGGTCCAGCTTGGCGCGCCGCTTCTTCAGCTCGGCGTCGAGGGCCTGCAGCGCGCGCTCCTTGTCCTCGACGGCGCGCGTCTTGGCCTCCAGGGCCTTGGCCTTGTCTTCGAGCTGCTGGCGCTGCTGCTCGAGTTGGCGGCGCTGCTCGGGGCCGAGCTCTGCCTTGGCCTGGCCAGCCTGCTGCAGCGCCAGCTGGTTCTGCTGCAGCTCCTGACAGAGCATCTCGATCTGCGCCTGGAAGCGCTCGCGCTCGACGTGCGCCTGGCCGAGCTCCTCGCGCGCCCTGTCCAGCTCCTTGCGCAGCTTGTCGACTTGCTGCTGCTGCTGCTGCTGCTGCTGCTGCTGCTGCTGCTGCTGCTGCTGCTGCTGCTGTTGGGCGGCGGCGGCCGGCTGCGGCTGCTGCTGCTGCTGCTGCTGCATTTGTTGGATTTGCTGCTGGTGCGCGTGCAGCTGGCGCTCGGCGGCCTGCAGGCGCTTCTCGGCCTGATCGGCGCGCTGGCGCTCGGCCTCCAGCTGGCCGCGCAGCTGGTCGAGCTGCTGCGGCGGCGGCGGCTGCGGCTGCTGGGCCGCCTCCTGCAGCCGCTTCTCGGCCTGCTCGGCGCGCTGGCGCTCGCGCGTCAGGTTCTGCGTGAGCAGCTGGACCTGCTGGCCGAGGCGCTGCAGCTCGGCCAGCGACTCGGCGGGCGGCGCGGCGGGCGCGGCGGCGCGCGCCTGCAGCCGACGCAGCTCCTCGCGCTGCTTCTCCAGCTCGGCCTCGCTGGCGCCCAGCTCGCGCTGGAAGTTGAGCAGCATGTCCTGCGACTTCTCCAGCTGGATGACCAGCTGGTCGCGCTCGAGCTGCAGCTGCTTGGCCTCGGCCTCGAGCTTCTCGCGCGCCTTGTCCACCTTGTCGGCGTGCTTCTCGCGGTTCTCGAGGATGGCGGCCATCTTGTCGCGCTCGCGCTGCGCCAGCTGCAGCTCCTGGGCGAGGCGCGCCGCCTCCTCGGCCGCCTGGGCCGCCTGGGCCGCCTGCTGCTGCTGCTGCGCCTGCTGCTGGGCGCGGCGCAGCTCCTGGCGCGCGGCCTCGCGCTCCTCGCGCAGCAGCTGCGCCTCCTGCAGCGCGCGCTCGTGCTCGCGGCGCGCCGCCTCGGCCGCCTCGGCCTGCTTCTGCAGCAGCAGCTGCGCCTTCTCGAGCTCCTTGGCCAGGCGGCCGGCCTCCAGCTCGAGCTGGTCGCGCGCGGCCAGCGCCTTCTCCAGGCCGGCGCGCAGCCGCTCGGCCTCGGGGCCGGCGCTCTCGGGCCGCGGGCGGCCCGTGTCCGCGGCCTGCATCAGCCGCTCGAGCCGGATCGTTTCCACGCGCAGCTTCTCGTTGTCGGCCTCGAGCGCCTCGGCGCGCGCGCGCAGCTTGGCCTGCGCGTCGCGCGCGCGCTCCGCCTCGGCGCGCGCCCCCTCCAGGTCCTGGCGCGCCTGCAGCAGCCGGCCCTCGGCCTCCTGCAGCTGCGCCTGCGCGCGGCGCGCCTCGGCCTCGCGCGCCTCCAGCCGCTCGCAGCGCTCGCGCGCGCGCTCCAGCTCCTGCTCCAGCCGGAACTTGCCGGCCGCGCTGTCGGGGCGCTGCAGCGCCTGCGCGCGCAGCCGCTCGGCCTCGGCCTGCGCGGCGGCCAGGCGCTCGCGCAGCCGCTCCTGCTCGAGGCGCGCGCGCTCCAGCTCGGCGCGCTCGGCCTCGGCGGCGCGCCGGCCCAGCCGCCCGGCGTAGCGCTCCTGCTCGTCGCGCGCCTGCTCGAGCTCCTGGCGCGCGCGCTCCGCCTCGGCCTGCGCCTTGCGCAGCTCCGCCTGCTGGCGCTCCTGCTTCTCGTAGAGCTTGTCCAGCTCCTGCTGGCCGCGCTGCAGCTCGTCCTGGGCCTTCTCGGCCTGCGCCTGCGCCTTGGCCAGCTGCGACTGCGCGCGCTCCAGCTCGAAGCCGAGCCGCTCGGCGTCGGCCAGCAGCTTCTCGCGCTCGGCCTGCAGTCGGCGCTGCTCGATCTGGCTCTTCTCGTAGCGCTCGCGCGCCATCTCCAGGTCCACGCTCAGCCGGTCGAGCTCCTCCTTGCCCTTCTCCTCGTGCTCCTTGGCGCGGCTCAGCTGCAGCGCCGCGCGCTCGTACAGCTCCTGCGCGCGGCCCGCCTCCTCCTGGGCCTTGCGCGCCTCCTCGCGCGCCTTGCCGGCCAGCCCGAGCTGCTTCTCGAGCTCGAGCTCGAGGCGCTGCTTGTCGGCCTCCGCGCCCTCGAGGCGGCTGCCCAGCCGGAAGGCCTCGCTCTGCGCGCGCTCGCACTTCTCGTGGGTCTTGTGCAGCTCCTTGCAGGCCGCCTCCTTCTCCTCGAGCGCCTTGCCGGCCGCGTGCTGCGCCTTCTCCAGCTTGTCGCGCAGGATCTCGACCTCCGTGTAGGCGTCGTCGCGCTCCAGCTGCCAACGCCGGGTTTGCGCTTTCATAAGGCTTTCGCGGGACGCGGGCCGGTCACTCACCGCCAACTTCTGCTGGGCGTTGTGCGCCTTCTCCCAGCGCTCCTTCGCCAGCTCCAGGTCGGCCTGGACGTTCTCCTTGTCGCGCTGGTACTTGGCGATCTGGCCCTGCGCGAACTCGTAGCGCTCCTGCAGCTTCTCCATGTCCACGTGGAAGCTGTCGCGCTCCTTCTGCAGGCGCTGCATGACGTTCTACGGGCCAGGCGGAGGAGAGGCGCTTGAGAGGCGCTTGAGAGGCGCTTGAGAGGCGCTTGAGAGGTGGGCCGGGCGGACCGGGCGGACTCACCTGCGCCTTCTCGTACTTGTCCTGCAGCCGATCGACCTCCAGCTGCACGCTCTCCTTCTCCTTCTGCATGCGGCTGATCTGGCCGTGGGTCTTGTCCAGCTGCGTCTGCACGTTCTCGAAGTCGTAGACCATCTTCTCCTTCTCCATTTGCATCTGCGGACCGACAGTGGGGAGAGCCCCGGTCAGCGGCGCTCGGGGACACGGCGGCCTCGTGGCGACACTCACCCTGCGCACCTCCTGCTGCGACTTGTCCAGGCGCTCCTGCAGCTTATCGAGCTCCGTCTGCGTCTTGTCGAGCAGCGCCTGCAGCTTGTCCTGCTGCAGCTGCGCCTTGCCGAGCGTCGCCTGGCTGCGCTCGAGCTCCTCGCGGCACTTGTCCAGCTCGGCCGCCGCCTTGTCGCGCTCGGCGTGCAGCCTTGCCACGGTGCTCTGCGCGCGGTCGTACTCCTCGCGCAGGCTGTCCTGCTCGCTGTGCGCGTTCTCGAGGCGCGCCTTCAGCCGGTACACCTCGCCCTGGCTCTTCTCCAGCTTCTCCTGCAGCGCCTGCGACTCGGCGCGCGCGCGCTCCAGCTCCGCCTGGCTGGCGCGCAGCTCGGTCTGCGCGCGGCGCAGCTCGTCCGCGCCCAAGCCGCGCTCGGCGCCCAGGCCGCGCTCGGCGCGCGCGTACGACGGCGTGACGGCGCGCTCGTGGCGCTCGAGCTCGTGGCGCAGGCGCTCGTTGTCGAGCTCGAGGCGCGCCAGGCGCTGCTTCGCCGCCTCCCAGTCGGCGCCGCTGCGGCCCACCTCCGAGGCCGCCTTGTCCAGCTCGGCCTTGCTCTTGCCCAGCTCCGACTGCGAGCTCTCCAACTTCGACTCGAGCCGGTCCTTCTCCGCCTGGGCGCGCTCCACGCGCGCGCTCAGCTTCTCCACCTCCGACTCGAGCGAGTGCATCTTCATCTTGTACTCGGCCAGCTCGCGCTCGTGCAGCTCGCGCTCCTCCTGCTTGTCCTGCTCGGCGCGGTCGCGCTGCTCGCGCAGCTGGGCCATCTGCTTCTCCTTGTCGCCGATGGCCTCCTCCAGGCTCGAGAGCGCGCCCTCGCTGCTGCAGTGGTGCGCCTGCATGGCGGTGAGCCGCGCGCGCGCCATGTCCACCTGGTTGTCCTTCTCCTTCAGCAGGTCCTCCAGGTTCTCGATCTTGCGCTGCAGCACGTTGATCTTGCGGTCCTTGATGTCCATGTGGTCCTTCAGCTCGCCCAGCTCGCCGTTCAGCCGGTTGCGCTCCTGCTGCGCCTGCAGCGCCTGCTGTGTCTTCTTCTCGATCAGCCGGTTCTTCTCGTCCAGGCGCTGGCGCATCTCCTCGACCTGCGACACGGAGATCGCGGCCGCGGTCAGGCGCGCCGAGCCGGCCCTGCCCCGCGGCCCCGCTACTACTCACGTCCGCCTGCAGCATGTTGTAGTGCTCCTCCTTGGCGCACAGCGACTCCTTAAGCACGGCGATGTGGCGCTGGTAGTCGGTGTGCTGCTCCTCCAGCGTCTTCATCTTGGCCGACATGGCCAGTAGCTCCTGATCGCGACGCTGCACCTCCGTCCTCAGCTCGTCCAGCTGCGAAACAAGTAGTCGGCGTCCAGCTAAACTCAGTCTCGTGCTCGCGGCCAGCTGGCTGTCCGAATACGCGACAAGGCCATCCTCGAAGTAGCCCTGCCCGATTATGGGGACGTCCGCCGCGAAGATCATCGACAACTCGTCCTCGTCCTCCTCCAGCGCTCCGCACCATACCTTTTCTCATTCAGACTTCAGCTTAGCAGTGCTCCCCTCCTCTCCTCGCCTCTCGCAGCTACCCTCTAATCAAGACCTATCGCCCTCCCTTGTGCTTGCTCGCTCGCTCGCGCGCTACGCTTCTGACATGAGAGAGTTGGTATGTTGTGCGCGCGCTGACAGTTGTTCAGAGTTTGCTCGGGGAGAGAAGATCGGGTGGTATACAGGCAAAAGGACGGATGCAGGCAGAAGACAGAGACAGACAGACAGATGGACAGACAGACAGACAGACAGACAGACAGACAGACAGACAGACGGACGGACAGACGGACGGACGGACGGACGGACGGACAGACAGACAGACAGACAGACAGACATGGAGAGTCGAGTAGCTCTGATGATGATCGGATGCGGATGATCGTGTCCTCGTACTCGGGCAAGGCTCAACGTAGCATGCAGCGGCAGACCGTTTCGGTCTTACTCCCGACTATCCAGAATCCACTCGATAACGAGCTTCGCTCGTGATCGTCGCTAGACCTTGCCCCACCCTCCCCCACTCGAGTCTCCTCACCAGTTCTCCTCACAAAGTCTCGCTCGCCAGTTCCAACGTTCGGCCTCTCTTATCTCTCTTTCCTTCCTCGCCTCGTGCTTGCGAACAACCCGACGCCGAAACTCGCCAGCAAAGACTCGTCGGTCGACCAAACGCCGATGCGTTCGATGTCCCGTGGCTCGTTCGACTCGTCGTCCTCCAACCGGCCGGATTTCTCACGACTACAGCCCGCGAGCAAAGCCACGCGTCAACACCGTCCGTGTGGTACGCGCTCGTATCTCTGGATGATTCTCACGGTCATGCTTTCCGTCGAGGGGACGCGTGGTGCCGCCATCATTGCGAAGCGCCATCGAACGACCCCTGGCGATCGGTAACAGTCGGCCCGAAGCAGCTAGCCTGCGACTAGCTCGGATCGACGACATCGAGAGCTAGACGCGTCCGGCCGAACGGCCTGCTCGATCGAAGTACCGGCGGACGCAACGTGCTCGCGCTCGGCGTTCGGCGTCGAATCGGTCGCGACGCTCGCCGGGGCGCCTGCGAGGAACGCGAGGTCCGACCGACGACCACCGAGAGTGATGGCGAGGATGGCGATGATGAGGATGCCGGAAGAAAACACAACTACACAGTGCGTGTGACGGCCCGCGGCTGATGAGATATATATCTGTTGTTGTTTGTCGGGTGAGTACTTGTTTGTGCAATGACGCGACACAAAGGTCGGCGAGCCACGGCGGCTGGGCGCACGACTGATCAGTGGAGAAAGTTTGTTTTACGTCCGACTGGCGGGCGGCGTGGGGAGCTGGGATGGGTGGAGCGAGACTCGCAGCAAAGGAAAGGTGCGTCAGCGCTGATCAGAGATCTCCTTACCTCGTCGGTCAGCTAGAATGGATCGAGCTTGGATCAACTTATTGAACATGAACTCGGCTCAGAGTTAGGTTTGGGCAGAATCGCGGTCCGGCCGCGCCGAGCGTCCGCTCGTGGCACCCTCGGTCCACGGCGCGGCCGTCTCGCGACTAGCCATTGGTATATAAAGAAGCAGCGCCGCGCTTGGGCCACGGCGCCCGCGGCGAGCGCACCAGGAGCGGCCAAGCGCGCGCGTGGTGGAAGCACACTGAAGTCCGTCGCGGCGCTTGGGCCGGCGGCCAGCCGAACGTCGCCGGACCGATAAACTGCCTTTGAAACGAGAACGCATGCTGCATGCGGTGCCCCATGCAGCGCGGGGCGTGCTGGCTACAAGCGACATCGAGGCACACAGAGCCGCGCAGCGACGGCGGCGGCGCGGACGCGTGGCGGCGACGCGGTGGCCGGCCGGGGATGGCGCTCGCCGGCCGGACACTTACTTGGCGTCTGAAGCTCTGCTCGTGGCGGTGGAAGTGCGCGTGGGCGTGCAGGGCCTGCAGCTGCTGCAGGTTGTGGTAGTGGCGCACGAGGCACTGGCTAGAGCGCAGTCGGGGCGGCGAGCTGGAGCCGGGCCGCGACTGCTGGGGCGGCTGCTGCTGCGGGCGCTGCTGCGGGCGCCGCGGCGCCGTCGCGCCGACGACCACCGAGCGACAGAGCTGCTCGCGCAGCCGGCCGCCCGACTGCCTGGCGCGCTGCAGCTCGACTTCGAGTAGCCGCACCTGGCGCTCCAGCGTCTGGATGCGCGCGTCCTTGGTCTCGAGCAGGGCCCCGAGGCGGCTGCCACCGTCGCCGCCGCCACCGCCCGCCGCCAAGTAGTTTGTCGAGCTCGCGGTCGTCGCGTAGGCGAGCTCCAGCTGTGTCTGCAGGCTCTTTAGTACCTCGTTTGTCGCTTTGAACTCCTTCGCACACAGAGACAGACAGACAGACAGACAGACAGGGACAGAGCAGGAGAGAGAGAGAGTGAGTGAGAGAGAGAGAGAGACAGAGAGACAGACAGACAGACAGACAGACAGACAGACAGACAGACAACAAGCAAGCGTTCCGTCGTTAGTGCTCAAACATCCGTTGCAGCCGGCCGCGCTTCGGTGTCTCTGGTGGCTCAGCCTCTCGGTCGACGAAAGAAAAGCGACATTCTCGCGCCATCGCTGACTCGCTCTCTCGCTCTGTACTGCTCGTCTCGCCGTCATGCCTCCGCGTTCGCTCGCTCGCTCGCTCGCTCGCTCGCTCGACCTCTCTCGAGCATTCTCGAGCTGCAGGTCACTCGGCTTGGACTTGCGATCGACGACGCCACCGTTCTTTCGCCGTCCGCGAGCTGACGGACGTGTAATCTGTGTTTGTCGGAGTCGATTGTCGCTGGTCGACAAGGACCGCCGAGTACACGCAAGAAACAATCAAACAAACGGATAACGAGGCTCGTGTGCTGTTGCTGTCGACATACGAACGTACGTATGGTGGCGGTGTGACAGTGGAAAGCGTCGGGTACAGTGGGCTCGGTGTGGGTGTGCGCGTGTGTGTCTGTCGGTCGTCGTAGCCGCTGGCGTTGGTGGCGTGCGTATGCTCTAGCGATGCAATGGCCGTCTATGTACCTGGTCCCTTCTTCCGGGTGATCTGCTCAAGGGCTTGCGATGCTGCGACCTGCTTATCGATCTACCGCGCTCGAGCTGACTCTACGGGCAGACAGGTCCGGCGCCGACCAGCAGGCAGGGGGGAGCGATGGTAATGGGCGTTCGGGGCCACAGGTCGGCGGGACGCGAGCGGCGGGTCGACGATGGCGATGGCCACGATGCAGACGAGGATGCACGGCAAACATTACATTGATCAATCGATCGGCTACGCTTTGCATTCCCCTTCTCTCTGTGTGCCGGTCGTTGTTTTTCGTTTTTGGTTTTTCGTCTTTTCAGCGCAAACTTTCGGCGGACCGCCGCCTCGTCGCGGAACAAAAACACAGTAGCTAACTCAAGGCTCGCCTACACATCCAAAGCAGAGCTCATTCCGCACATTCGTCTTCTTTTGCATTCGCTTTCGGTGTCACGAGTCTCGACCCATTTGGATATTGAAGCTGTTTGCCGCAGTCGCCCAAGCACAACAAGCCACTGCGCGATCGCTGCTTATTCGCAAGAGGCCTCGCTCGCCACTCGCACCATCTCTGGTAGTCGCAGGGGTGCAGACGCTCGGGTCGCATGCCGAATGCAGGTGAGAGTGCAGTGCGCGCGGACGACACGCGGCAGTGGGCGACAGTCAGCGACAGGCCGCACTTACCCAGGCGACCTCGGGGGGCGCCGGAGGAGCGGGAGGTGTCGGGGGGGGGAGGGCCACTAGTTGGCCGCTCGGCGTGCATGGATACAGTCAAAGGACGAACGGCTCGGCCAGCCAGCCAGTGCAAAATGATTGCGCCGCTGCGGCATGCTCGCCGTGCGAACGGCTCGGTTACTTTCGCTAACTAGCGACACACCACTACGATACTGCTAGGTCTACGGACGGCTGGGCGCGGGCGTCGTTACCGCGGCAACGCCGGCTGTCGTAACGACGCCGCTATGCAGCGGGAATGCTCGCGGCCAGAGGGAACACCGTGGGCTAGCGTTCAAAGGCAATTTACAAGCGCAACATATCGGACTAGCGAAACGGCGTCGGCTCTGCGGCGGCCGACGCGGATCGCGACGAAAAAAGAGAGAGAGATACGTATACCAAAGACAAAAGGAAACGTCGACCACTTAAGTATGCTAGAATGCTTCTTTATATGCAAAATACGCGAATGGTGGAATGTAAAGACCTGCTTCTGGGCCATGGACTGCATCTGCTGGAACATGATGCGCTCCTCCTCTTTGCCTGCGAGCAGACAACGGTAAAGCAAAACGGCGCTCGGCCGAGCCACGCTCGGATTGCGAACATTGCTACTAACCCATGCCCTTGTTCTGCAGCATCTCCAGCAGCTTCTTGATGCTCTCGTCGCGGGCCTGCAGGGTTTGCTTCTGCGTCTCTATCCGCAGCTCCAGCTCCTGCAACACGCACAGGCGCACGCATTAGTGCCGGCCTCGAGGCCAAGTGAGCAGCGCGCAAGCACGCGCACGACCCCAGTGCGGCCCGTTCGAGGAAGCCACTCGAAGGAGGCGGGGGTCGGGTCGGCGACGGAGACAGACAGAGATAGAGAGAGCGAGAGAGAGAGAGAGTGAGAGAGAGAGAGAGAGAGGAGAGGCAGCTCCGCGTCGAGGAGGCCGGCGCTATCGGCAAGCGACATACTGCAAAGGGCCTTCGATGGCTTCGCACGGGCGGGCGAGCGGGGGCAAGACGCGAGTGCGCGGCACTGTTGATCGCTTGGCGGGACTCCAAGGAGCCGCGCGGGGGGGGGGGGGGGGGGGGGCCGGGGCGAGCGGCGACGCGGAGGAGGACACCGCGGGCATAGAATGGATGAAAAGATGAACCTTGATGGTGTCCCGGAGGATGGCAATTTCGCGAGTCAAATGTTCGTTCTCGTTGTACAAGACCTCCATCTGCTGCTGCATCTCGACGCTGGGGCCCCGCATGCGCATCCGTAGCTCCTCCTCGAGCTGGCGCACCATGAGGCTCTGCTTCTGCAACAAGAAAGTCGCACGGCGACGGGTGAGCACTGGTGGCAGGGGCGCGCTGCGGGACGGCGACTCGGCCCGCCGGCGCGGCGAGGCCGTACGTCTGACGGGCGCGCGCGGCGGCCGCGGCTGCGCGCACAGGCGCGCGCTCTTGCAGGCCTACTCACTACTCGGGTACTTACACCATGTGGCGCGCACTAGCGACAGTGGGGTTGTATTGTGTGTTGCATGAGGTGTGCAGTGTAAGGGCTATCGAGGCTACTGCCGTCGCTCGGCCTTGCGGCCCGCCTACTTACACCTAGAAACGGACAAGTGTCAGATTTGCTGGCTTCTCACGGCAGCCTCGCGTGCTGCGCGGCTCGGTCTCGCGCGAGCACGCGGGAACCGAACGACCAACGGAGGACGCGGAACGAGCGTCAACGAGCGGCAACGAGCGTCCGGCGAGCGAGGCGCGAGGCGGGAGTCTCTCTGTTTCTCTCTCTCTCCCCCTGTCTGTCTGTCTGTCTGTCTGTGGGCCTCGCTCGGGTGCTCGGGTGCTCGGGTGCTCGGGGGATCGATAGCCGAGGGAGCAAAGTCCGCTGGGCGCGCGTCCGCTGTGCAGAAAAGGATCATTAGTCGGGCGCTCAGGTGTGCGCCGCGCGAGCGTGTCGGCTGGCGTGAGAAGCGGCTTGCAGCTACTCTAAGCGGGCATGCGTGCGAGCGCCACGCTAAACGGATCAATGTCAGCCCGCCACGGGCCGCAATCAATGAGCGCGCGGCGCGATCAATGGGGCGGCCGCCGCGTGTGCGTGCGCCCGAGCGGGCGGCGGCGCGCGCCGAGGCGGGCCGGCCGCGCGCCTGGGCCCGGGCTGAGCCGCCGCCGCGGCCAGCGGGCCGCCGCGGGCGCAGCGATGGCGGCGGCCGCGGGCCAGCGAGGAGGACGAGGCGTATCGATCGGCCTAGATACGCGGGCGCGGGCGCGCGCGCGCACGCCCGCCGCGGCCGCGGCAGCAGCAGGAAACGCGGCAGCGAAGCGAGCCAAGCGCGGGCAGCGGGGCCGCGAGCGGGGGGGCGCCCACCTGGTTCTCGGAGTTGAGCAGCTTCAGCTGCTCGTTGATCAGGCTGTACTTGGTGCTCTCCTCCTTGCGCAGCGCGCGCTCCTTCTTGAGCTCGGGGCTCCAGAAGGTCTTGATGCTGTGCATCGAGCTGCCGAGCTTCTGGTTGGTGAGCTCCAGCTCCTTCTTGAGGTTGCCCAGCTCGCGCTGCAGGTCGTTGTTCTGGCTCTGCAGCTCGCCGATGTAGCCGCCGCCGACGGCGCCCAGGCCGTCGCGCAGCAGGTGCGGGCTCTGGCGGTGCAGGCCCGCGGAGAGCGGCCGGCCGAGGCCGCCGCCGCCGCCGCCGCCGCCGCCGCCCAGGTAGAACTCATCCTCGAGGTAGCGCGGCACCGAGCGCGAGAAGGCCGCCGCGTCGCGGATGGGCACGAACTCGCGCTCGTGGTCCAGCAGGCCGACCGAGGCACGGTCGAGGCTCGCGTAGCGGGGGCCCTGCGAGGACATGGGCGGCCGGGAGGCGCTGCGCGAGCGGTGCTGGCCCGCGCCCTGGGACATACTGCGGGCGCGCTCCTCGAAGAGCAGCGCCGCCGGCGGCTGCACGCCGAGCGGGCTGCCGAGCTCCTCGTGGTAGTAGGGGCTGCCGCCGGCGGCGCCACCCGCGCCCGCGAGGCCAGCCTGCTGCTGCCCCCCGTAGAACGCGGCCGCGCCGACGGCCCCGCCGCCCGCGTAGTCCATCGCGACCGGCGAGCTGTTGCCGCTGCGCGGCCCGGCGCGCAGCCTGCGCGAGGAGCCGCTCAGCGGCGAGACGCGCCCGCTCTGGTAGCCGTAGCCGCGCGACGGGCTGCGGTCCACCGTGGGCAGCTCGCCGAGGCGGCGGCCGCTGCGCGGCGAGCGCGCGCCCCCGTAGCCGAGCTCGCGCGCGGACATGTCGGCGTCCGCGGTGCGTGCGGCAGCGGGCGCCGCGCTCTGCTCTACTGGCGGCGCCAGCCGCGCGCGCCGGCAGCCGTGACGTTGACCCGCACGCATGCTCCGCCGGCGCCGCCGCCGCCGCCGCCGCCGCCGCCGCCTGCCGCCGACGCCGCGGCGCCGACTCGCGGCCGCCCGATTATTGGCCCGCGGGCCGCGGTCGATAGCGCGCCGGCGTCGCCGCCGCGGCGCCCGCTGCGATCGCGCCGGCCGCGCGCCATCGATTTTTCTATTTCGGTTCGAAGCCGCGCTCCTGCGCGCGCCGGCCCCTGCCGCGCGGCTCGCGCCCTGCGATCGTTACTCGCCGCGCGACCGACGGCGCAGCGCTGCCTGTCAATCGGCTCGGCTGACAGTCTCGCGATCGATCGTCCGGAAGCGCCGTTCGCGGCTTCGAAAGTCAATGCGCACGGGGCTCGGCGACGCGACGTTCCCGCGCACTGGGAAGCCTCGACGTTCGGACCGGCTCGCCTCGCCTCGCCTCGCGGCGCCTCGGCCGAGCGCTCGACGGATGCCGCGCTGGCGAGCTGCCGGCTGGAGCGTCCGCTGGTTAGATGTCGTCTCCGTGCCGCATGCCGTCGTGCTTCTTCGGTCTTTTTCGCCCAGCCGCTAGCTGCTCCGACGCCAATCGTTGTCTTGTGCCTCTGATGTTGAAGCGCTTCTTGTTATCTATTCATCGATCGAACTTTCCCAGTAATACAGCTACCGACAAATCCGGGGAAAAGTGCATTCTCTATTACAAGCTTCCGGGAACGAATGCATCGAATCGAAAACAACCACGAACGAAAAACAGTTCCTTTCTTCGATCAAGTTAGACAATGCTGTCGATTTGCAAAATTGCTGTGATTGGGAATTGATTTATCGATGAGAATCGGATGCTAGTCCCGCACTAAAATGGGAACCCTCGTCAAATTCGGGACAATGAAAAGGCGCTGCGCGTGCTGAAACGTTATTAACGAAAAAGTGACAGTTTCGATTGTGCGAATATCACCTTATTAATTACTAGCGCTCATAATGTACGAGCGTTGAAACAAGCGATACGCGAATAAATAAACGTTTTCCGTGCGCGATATTCGGACTGGTGATAAAGTAATTCCTAAGTAGTCCGCGTACACTTATCTGTGCAAAAGACACGCAGATCAAATCAAATGATATCGAGCTTTCAAACATTCCCAAAGTCGGCTCAGCTTCGCAGAAGTCTCTTCTATGCTCAATCTCATTTTCCAAACTGCAATTTTTGTATCCTTCGTTTCCCGCGCGAATGGTTCTCAATACCAAACAAGTAGGAGCCTCAAAGGTTCCGTCGAAACGTACGATCATTGAATTCCCACAACCGAAGCGTAAAAAGTTCCACAAAGACTCAATGAAAGCGCGATAACTTTCAACAGGTTGCTCTCGACCAGCTGGTAAATAGCGTTACGTTATCTGCGTTCGTTTGGCTTGCGGCGCACGATCGGAATCATGGCAGCCCTTGACCGCAAAAGGCTCGAGCCTAGCATTTGGCCAGACCGGAGAAGGCAAATATCGTGGCCGGCCACTTCAAAACGCGCCCCGTTGTTTGCGTGTACATTCGCGGGGGGGCGAGTCCGTGCGGGATACCAGTTGGTCGCGATAAACATACATCTCCTGGCCCACGAGGTTGAATCTTGCGTTTGTCGGCTACGCGCTGCGGGACGGCTAGAGCCTGGCGGTAGGTGCGAGAGGCGTCACAGCACCGCGCCGCATTCCGGCGATAAGCCGAGGATGGTCGGCGCCGACGTCGCAGCGCCCCGCGTTGACGAGCGGCCGGTACGCGATCGCGGAGAAGAGGCGTGCGCGCGGCCGCGGCGCGCGGGCTCGTCGGAGTAGGAGCGATTAGATTAGCGGACGTCGCGGCGAGAAGCGAGCGCGCGGCCAGTCGCCTTCAGGATGCGTAGCGCTACCGACGGAGCGCGGCTGCTGCTGCTGCTGCTGCTGCTGCTGCTGCCGCTGCTGCTGGCCGGGACGAGCCGCGCCGAGTGGCACGACGACGTCGGGCCCTGGGTGACCGCCAGCAAGGGCGAGCCCTGGCCCCTGCCCCGCGAGCGCCAGCTCGACGAGCAGCGCTACCGCCTGCTGCAGCCGAGCGCCTTCCAGTTTCAGGTGAGCCCGCGGCGCCCGTCCGCCCGCCCGGCCGCTCACTCGCCTCGCTCGGCAGGTGATGCAGCGTAGCAGCTGCGACGTCCTCGAGGCGGCCGTCGGCCGCTACAAGCGCGTGGTGGCGCGCGAGGCCGAGCTCGCCCTCAGGTACCGCCGGGAGGAGCGGGCCAACGCGAGCGCGGCCCCCGACCACGACGGCGATCTGGCTCGCCTGCAGATCTACCTGAGCGGCGACTGCGAGGCCTACCCCCAGCTGGCCTCCAACGAGTCCTGTGAGCGCCCGCGCCGCCGGCCCCGCTTCGTCCTCCCCCGCTGACCCCGCGCTGCATTTCGCACAGACGAGCTGCGCGTGGCGGAGGGCGCGGCGACGCTGCGGGCCAACTCCGTCTGGGGCGTGCTGCGCGGCCTGGAGACCTTCAGCCAGCTGGCCGCCTGGACGGACGCGGGCGTGAGTACGCGCGCGCCGGCGCGAGTCGAGCCTCGCGAGTAACGGGCCCCGCGGCGCAGGAGCTGGTGGCGAGGGCCCAGCGCATAAGGGACGCGCCGCTGCTGGCCCACCGCGGCCTGCTGCTCGACACCGCGCGCCACTTCCTGCCGCTGGACGACCTGCTGCTGACCCTCGAGGCCATGGCCCACAACAAGCTGAACGTGCTGCACTGGCACATCGTGGACGACAACAGCTTCCCCTACGAGAGCGCCGAGTACCCGGAGCTGGCGCGCGCCGGCGCCTACCACCGCAGCCTGACCTATAGCGCGGCGGACGTCGCGCGCGTGGTGGAGGAGGCGCGGCTGCGCGGCATCCGCGTGCTGCCTGAGTTCGACAGCCCGGGCCACACGCGCAGCTGGGGCCAGGCCCGGCCCGAGCTGCTCACCGCCTGCTACGGGCCCGACGGCCGGCCCAGCGGCAAGCTCGGGCCCATGAACCCCGCGCGGCCGCAGCTCTACGAGCTGATGCGCGGCCTGCTGCGCGAGGTCCGCGGCCGCTTCCCCGAGGCCTACCTGCACCTGGGCGGCGACGAGGTGCCGTTCGACTGCTGGCGCAGCAACCCCGAGGTGCTGGACTTCATGCGCCGCGCGAACATGAGCGGGCGCTTCGAGCGCCTCGAGGAGCTGCACGTCCGCCGGCTCCTGGACATCGCGGCCGAGTTGGGCGCCAAGGCCGTGGTCTGGCAGGAGGTGTTCGACAACGGCGTGCGGCTGGCGCCCGGCACCGCGGTGCAGGTCTGGACGGGGGCCTGGCAGGCCGAGATGGCCGCGGTCACGCGCGCCGGCCACCCGGCCCTGTTGTCGGCTTGCTGGTACCTCGACCACGTGGCCGGCGGTGGCGACTGGCTCAAGTTCTACGGCTGCGACCCGCTCGACTTCCCGGCGATCGAGCCGGGGCAGAAGGGCCTCGTGCTGGGCGGTGAGGCCTGCATGTGGGGCGAGTTCGCCGACAAGTGAGTGTCCCCTCTCTGCCCGTTCCGCCGCCACTCCAGGCCGCCTCTCCGCCTCTCTGCCTCTTTGCCCCCGCAGGAACAACGTCCACTCGAGGATTTGGCCGCGGGCCTCCGCCGCCGCCGAGAGACTGTGGAGCGTTGGACGCCAAGACAACGAGTCGGCTGCGCATCGTCTCGAGGAGCACGCCTGCCGGATGAACCGCCGAGGGGTGCCCGCCCAGCCGCCCAACGGCTCCGGATTCTGCCTCAGCTGAATCGGACCACCGCTTCGGTGCTGTAGCGCTTCTATTGAACGATATATCTGTATCTAGCATCCGAATGAAATCTCCTTATTATTCGACTCCTCTCCAGTCTTTGCGCGCACTCGGTCCTTTTATCGATCTTCGGCTTAATAACGGCTTTCTTGCAACTTCTTTTCAACGGTTCGCCGGACAATTCGGTTTGACAAGAATCGACCCAGAACTTTTCGAGAACGTTCTCCGCGTATGCTCCTGGTGTGTCAATCGTGGAATCTACTTGTTATTGCCAAGAAACGTTCACTTGGAAGGAGAGCGTCGTCGCTTCATCGTACAACGATCTTGCACCTCGAACGTATCGCTCGAACTCGTCGACCACTGTCCGCGCGAGATACTGGATGCAACATGTACGGACGAATAGCCGCATTCTCGATCGGCTGCCTGCGTTGACTCTACGTATAATTACTAATACCTTTCTGGATGGTATGAAACGCGAGCCGCGCAACACGCAAAAGATCGAGGAGTTAGTCCGCTGATATCTTCGAGGCGCACGATCATTTCGTCACGGAATGTTCAACTCTTCGCGTTACTATTAAGTTTTCGACTTTCGGACGTTAAAAACGAATGGATGATAAATTTTACATTAGTCTCGTTGAAGGCTCAACTATCTTAGAATCGCAACATTTTGGCGCAAAATTTACAACGACTGAAAAGTACACGAGGAAAGCTATTTAACTTTGGTCAGTGATCCAGAAATATCAAAGTAGTCGAATATCAATGGTCGATGGGAGGGAGCAAAGTTTTTCTGATGAAACAGAAAAAGGCAAATACCGTTTGCGATACGCAATCACGACGAAAGTAAAAAGCCGTCCAGCATACCGCTGCTAATCTCATTTAAGAATTTGGGTCACAGTTGTGTACGTGTGTTCCAGTGAAATGATCTAAGATACAAAAAAATGAAAAAAGAGCAGATGTTTTTACTGGCATCGCTCTTCTATCGTTGTTTACTTTACATCGGACGGGCTCAACGCAACGGCACTTACTCGGCTAACAAAAATTCAGCGCGAGGCAGTTCGGCACCACGCCTGATTCGGATAATACTTGACCGAATCCTCTAATAGGATCATAATAAAATCTAGGTATTATCTTTTTCGTAAAGCGTGTAAATAAATAACTGCGCCCAAGCAGTACGAGGTTGGTCGTTCGACAAAGTCGTTCGATCGAAGAGTAGCCGAGGATCCGATCGCTGGGTCAGCGAGCAATGACAAGTGGCGACGCGCCTCCGTATTGCAGGCGCAGCTGGAAAGTGAACGTCGTTTAGCTGCGACTGTCATATGGCTCGATCCACGTCAAGAGATATACGGACGCAGCCCTCGAAGCGATTGCGGCAAGCGTGGCTCGAACACCGTCGATCCGGTTGATCGTCACTTGTTGCAGCGGCCGTTTGGCGGCCGACGCGCACGCAGCTTCGCGTTTCATCCGTCAGGGGTCCGACCGAGCTTGGTGCGCAGTAGCGACTGCGCATTGCGCAGTTGTGGCAGGAAGCTTTTGCGTCGAGCTCAAACTCGTCTGCGAAACTTCAATCCGACCGCAGGCGAAACCGCCGCGCGAGCAGCAGCGACCGGAGGAGAGCACTCGGACCAAGCGGAGCTACGTCGAACATGTACGGGCCACGCGCGAGCGGTGAGCGGGAGTCGGAGCCGGAGCCGGCCGCGGCGGAGCCGAAGCCACGCCGAGAGGTCGCCTCGCGTTCGGGCGCCGACAAGCCGAGCCGCGAGCTGGCGCCGAGGCCGACGGAGTTCAGCCCGGAGATGCTGCGTGACCAGGAGCTGCTGGTGTCGACGCTGAGCCAGCAAGGCGTCTCGCAGGCGCTCATCAGCCGCCAGTTCAACCGGCTGCTGGAGGAGCAGGCCAAGCAGCTGACGCGCTCGCGCGAGCCGGCCAGGGCGCTCGAGGAGCTGGGCTGCGCGCGGGAGCGCGGCGAACCGCCGGAGGCGCCGTCGAGGCCGCGTCCCAAGCCGGATCAGCAGGCGCCACGCTCGCGCAACAACGGCCTGCAGGATCACGTCACTGCCGCGCGGATCGTCGACAGGGCCAGGCAGCGGTCCGAGTCGCGGCCCGCCGACGCGCCGCGCTTCCGACTGAATGGCGCTCAGGAGCGCGACGCGCCCGATGCCGAGGCCTTTTGCCGGACGCACTTCCTTTGCCAGCCGTCCGAGCTGCCACCTGCAGGTTGTGGCGCCAGGCGCAACGTCTCGGCCAACGGCCTGGAGAACGCCAGGCGGCAGACCGCCGCCGCCTGCCTCGGCTCCGTCGAGCCGCCCGACGAGCCTGTTCGGCAGCGCTCCACCGAGGATGCCGATCTGACTCGTTGCTCCGCCGATACCAACTCTCCCGTCCCCGGGAACGGCGATGATAATGATAAGCTTGGCGATTGCGTGGCTTCCCTGCACCAGCTCTCTGACATTCAAGAGCCTAGAATGTTTGGCGGATTCACCTATTTTGTCAGAAAACCACAGTACTTATCGCATTGCAACGCTCACCAGCATCTTCAGCAGCCGTCATCGGCTAAGGATCGACTGCAAAACTCCCAGTTATCGGCAACACATCCTGGCAAACACCAGCACAAATCCGTTTGCGCTTCCAAATGCTGAATCTATAAGTTTGTAATCGTTCGCATTTTTACTTATTTCGGCTCGTCCAATAGCAAACCGAATAATTTTTAACAATTGCTAATTATTGTATTGTGATTGACAAGTAAAATGAGACGTTTATTATAAAAGATGGCTTTTTATTTGTATTAAAACAAAAATGATGTCCTTAACAACGGCTGCAAATAGTAATAACAGAAATTGACGCTGCGGTGGGCGAACGCTATAATTTTATTTAAATATATAATCCACGTGGAATTGAATTTTAAATATTATAGCAACAGTATTTAAAGAGCTGTATTCTACAAGGACACGCACCCAAGAATTTGATAGCTTTGGTTAAGCGCGCCTTCGACAAGCCCAGATCGCATCGTGGGCTTAATGGTAGAGGTGAAAAAATTGAGGACAAAACAGAAGCCGACGATACAGACTTGGCCACGCAGTGGACACGCGGTGGCAGAATCCGGATACACTTGTATACATATATACAGAGAAAGTCAGAGCGAGGCTTAGGGCGAGGAGGAAGAAGAGCTGGAGTCAGCGCGCGCCTCCGGGGCGGCGGGCTCCATCTGGGCGAGCGAGCGCTGCAGCTCGGCGCGCTCTTGCGGCTGCAGTCGATGCGCGATCTCGAGGACAGCGTCGAGGCGCACTTCGGGGCAGGCCTCGAGCGCCTCCTTGATGCGGCTCACTACCGCGTCCTTCTTTACGCAGCACATATTGCGTTGTAGCACGCTGCCCTCGCTACGCGTTTGCGCCTCCAGCCAGGTGGCGGCTGTCGAGTCACTGTCCCACAGGTAGGACGCCGTCGCGCCCTTGTCCTCGACGAACCAGCGGCGCAGCATCGCGTCCACTTGGCGCACCTGCAGGCTCGGTTGCGTTTCCAGCACCTGCCTGCGGATCTGATCCTCGAGCAGCCGACGGCGCAACCGCCAATAGAAGAAGCGGCGAGCTCCACGCCACGGTACGATCTCCGAGATGCAGCCCTTCTCTAGCATGCGCTCGGGCGTATCGTGTAGATCGGCGAAGCGCACCGCCACCTGGTGGTACATCGACTCCAGCTGGCGCTCGCGCGTCTTCATCTCCATTTCGATGGGCGCCCGCTCTTCGGCCGGGGCACATGCGCCGCAGCCGGCAAGCTGCTCCTTCAGCCGCTGCAGTACCGGATCCTCGCGATACATCGTCTTCAGGATGTCTTTTTCGCGGAACTTGATCTCAACAATGCCCTCAGGTTCAAGCACGCCACCGCGGCTGCTATTATCCGCGAACATCTCCATGCACTGCGGGTTGATGGTCGGGTCGACTACCGCCCAGGCGCCGCCGCGTAGCTCGGCATTAGGTGGAATGTACACCATTACAGGCCGCGTGTACTCGCGCAGGCCGTCCACGATGTACGAGCCGAACTTCACTATCTGCTCGTACATGTCTGCAAGCGAGAGATCGTGTTAGACACCGCACATTTCATTCTGCTTCAATCTGCGCCCTTACGTACCTTTCATTCCTCCGGAGAATCCTCGCCAGTTGGCGAAGATCATCAGTGGCAGCTCCTCTCTACCAAAGTCCTTGATGGCCTGAGCCGTCTTGTAGGCACTGTCGGGATACCAGACTTGGCCAGCCTGAGACACGGTCTTGGCTTCCGAGTCGGGGTTGGCTGGATCCGCCGGTAAATGCAGCTCCACCGAGCGAGTCTCCACAGCTATTACTCCACACGGGATTCCTCCGAGCATGGCTCGACCAGCGATAACGGTCTGTGCCCACGGTCTCATGATTTCCTGGATTGATAAAAGAGCCAGTGAATTCTAGGTACGGATTGCAACACAAACAGTGCAAACACTCGAATCAAGGCGCGTGACTTGCCTGCCAAGAGCCACGGTCAAAGAAGCCGCTCTCCCAGACGGTGCTATCGTTAGGATGCTGTCTACCCTCGAGCATCAAGCGTGGATCGTAGGGCGCTTTCGTCGGCAAATAATCGATGTCTCGATCAATCGGATCCGTCAAACTCGCTAACGAGCGAATAGGCAGTGGTGCCCCCTTGGTCTTTGGCACATAGCTGAGCCATCGCAGGACTGTCGACACTCCGTCCAAGTCGCGAGGTTCCGTCGCGTGGGATACACCATTGTTATGCATGATCTGAATGCCTCCCAGTTGATTGTTGCTCGCGTAGACCTCGCGGCCTAATACCTTGTTCAGGGCCCGATAGCCGGTGAGGATGATGTGCGAGTTTTCGATTTGTATGACGCGCTGGCCTAATCGCACCAGATATGAGCCGATTCCAATAGCACGACAGGACACCACCGATATTGTCACGATCTGTAGAAGTCAGTCAAGTTTGAACCTCGCTCTGCCAATCTAAAATGCCAATGGTTTAAAAAATCATTTACCTCCTCGTAGGCCCTCGAGGTCTCTCCAGCAATCAGTCCCGCGTGTTTTAAATTTTCAACACCAATGGCATCTTCTTGGCCAATTATGTCAGTTATTTTGTATCTGGATTCGCCGTCATCCTCTATCAAGCAGGCCTTGACTGAGTTCAATGGGCCCAGGCGTGCGTAGTCATCCGGTGTGAGGTATATGTATTTGAAACCCTTTTCCGGCTCGTCGTTATCTTCCCACGCGATATGAAACAAACTCTTTACCTATAACATAAATTCCATACATTTCCTAACTGTCCGGAATTTTTTGCTTTTTATAACAATGAGGTTACCTCCTCGGCCAGGCCAATTCTAGCTCCTGAGTTAGCCGAAAAGTAAACGCGAGGAATGCCTAGTTGACGTGCTCTCTCCGAGGCCCTGTAGAAGACCATATCCTCTTGTATGCCGAAAGAACCAATTCGAACGGTCAAGTCGTTGGCGATCAGTATCATCTCTCGCCCTGCCGGATATTCAGGAGTGTAAAGCGTCAACTTCCAGGCCACCATGCCAACCTCATTTTCGCCGGGCAGACGTTTCTGCTCCACCAGGTTTTCGCCGTCGAGAACCAGCTCGACACTGTCCAACACTGGGTTCGGTACCACAATTTGATCTGCAAAGAGATGGAACTGTCGGTCGCATCACTGTCGCAATCAGACGAGACCGCGAGGGTGCATCGACTTACCGGCATTAGGCGACTCCTCGACGTGCTTGGCCCAGGCCTTCTCTATCTGCTGCCTGAACATGTCGGGCAGATCGTAGGCGTACGTAGTCCCGGCACTCTGAGCCTGGAAACGTTTGGCCTGCAGGTAGTCTTTGGTGAGGTAGGGTGTGTTAATAGGTAAGCCGTGCATGGGGCCTGGGCGCCAGTTGTTGGTGTTGCCATTGGGCACGTAGGACTCGAAGCGAATAACGCCGGTCTTAGGGTCGGTGGCTTCACTGTAGAGGTGCAAATCGACACTGTAGCCGCTGTCATTAGCGATGAAGAGACGCACGTTGGTGGTGGGTTTGCCCGGCGCCGGTCTGATGGTCATCTTAATCTCCGCCTGACGCACGCGCAGCTTCCAGAGCCGTGGACCGTAGCGCATAACCATGCTGGTGACGCTCTCCTCGATCCTTACCGGGTCCATTATGACGGTGGGCACAAAGTTGAGGAAGATGTGATTGCAATCGGTGCGCTTGGCCAGCGGGTGCGAGAAGGCCACTTCGAGCTCGTCCATGGCTTCCAGGAGCACACGCTCGCCCTCATTGTGCAGGTAGTCGAAGCTGGCCTCCTTGGTGATGAGGTCTGAGTGGCGGATGATGGATCGGATGAAGAAGCGATAATCAGTGACCTGCTGGCCTTTGGCCACTTTGGCTTGGCCGAGGTAGAGATGCATCTTCTGGTTGGAAGTGGGCAGCGCCTCCAGATCGTAGGTGCGCATGCGGTTAAGCTCGATATGGAAGGCGCAGCCGGGCTCGAGGTGTCGGTAGATGCGGTCCTCGATGAAGTTGTCACGCTGGCGGAACGTAAAGAAGCGCGGGAACTGGCGCTTCTTGAGTGCGGCGAAGGTCACCCGACGCACTCCGCGCGCCACCAGCTCGTCACGGTTACTGGCGCACCAGTTGCCGAACATGCACGCGAGTGTGGCGTCATCCTGGCTGCCCTTGTCCTGAACGGCCACGCTGAGGATGTTGACCGGCTCGGGCTGTTGCTGGGCAACTTGTTGCTGTGCCACCTGCGGCTGTCCGGCTGAGTCCACGTGGTCGACGTTAATGGAAGTACTGTGGCGCGACTCGCTGCAGCCAACCGCCGCGTCGACCGCTTCGAGCACGCGCGCCGATACGGTGATGGGGTTGGATAGATCTTCAAGCAGATCGAGCACCTCGTCCGAGTATTGCGAGAACTCGGCCAGATCCTTAAAGGCGGCCATCGCGCCCATGCGGTGGTTGACCAGCGAGTGACTCTGACGGTTGGGGTGGTTGGTCGGCAGCAGGAATTGGAAATGCACTAGCGGGATCTCGCCCGAAAGCTCGAGATGCTGTAAGCATGTGAGCTCGTAGCTGATGTATGCGCGGCGTACGTAGACCTCGAGCGCGGCGTTGCAGACAGCGCGGTTCGAGTGGTAGAAGAAGTCGTGCAGAATGTCAAAAATGCAGGTCTCGGAGAGGATAAGTTTTTGCAGATTTTCTGGGTGGAAATCGTGACCGTACATGTCGACGGCCGATAAAAAGATGGACTCCATTTGGTTGTGACGCAGCTCATAGGCAGGCTGGTGAGCGGCGATGAGTACCTGGCGCGCGCGCAGTGCCACGCGACTGTGTTCCTGGCGGTTGAGGCTGGTGAGCTCGGTGAGCGTCGAGGCCAACTCGTCGGTGAGGCCGGGTTCATTGGCCCAAAGGTGGTCCACTAGCATAGTCACCAGCACGTTCTTCTTGAGCACCTGGCTGTGGCTGAAGATGGTAGCGGTCACCTGAGCCACGTCGTCCTTGTGCTGTTCGATCAGTGCCGAGACACACTTGTCGTAGTGGCCTTGTTGAAACTGCGACTCGACCACGAAATACTGGCGCAGCAGCTCATGTACCGCAGTCTTCATGCGACCGCGAATGCCCGCGCGGTAGCGCTGCACCAGCTGCACAATCGCCTGAGTGGTCAGGAAAAATACATCGCGCTCCGAGCGCTTGGACAGTGTGGCCGCATGGCCATCGATCACCGCAGCAATCTGTTGGCTGGGGAATTGTGCCAGTACCGAGGTGATATTGCGTTCGTACAGCGTCATCAGCTTGCGAATTTTTTTCTCGACGCTGAGCGGGATGCGGCCGGAGATTGTGGCGATCACCTCTTGCAGCTCGAGTAATGGTAGCGAGGGATCGCGCAACGAACTCATGAAACGCTCAACGAGCTCGCGCAGTCGCGGCAGATGGTAAGGGTCGGGCAAGCAGTATCCGGCTAGGCAGTTCTCCAGCGCGGCACGGTACTTGGCATGCAGGTGGTTCAGCTTCTCGGGTACGGCGGGGCTGCTGGGCCCGGGGAACTGACCGGCGTACTCCTGCGCCTTGGTCACCAATGAGGGGTCGTCAAGCTCGAGGCGCGCCACAAGGCTGCCGGCGTCGAGCACTGCACCCGGGCGCTTCACGAAGAACAGCGTGCCGGCTTCGCTCGTGCTCACCGACATTACCATCTTCATGACCTCGATCTCGGCGTAGGCCTGGCCGGCCTCCACGTGACCACCGTCCTCTACCAGGAAGTTGATGAGCTTGCCGGCCGAGGGGCTACGTAGCAGCGACGGATCGTTGTCCTTCTCAAAGACGCAGGTCTGGTTGCCGATGACGATGCGGTAGCGATCGACCTCCTCGCGCATGTAGGTAGTGAAGCTGGCCCCGTCGACCGACAGCAGCAAGCCGCCGTCCGATAGCCGGTGGATCTCGACCTCCTTGTAGGAGCCATTCATCACGAGGAAGTAGCTGTTGGGACCCGACTTAGTGGCTTGCACTCGATACTTGAAGCCGTCGTTGATCAGCTCGATATCGACGCTATTATTGAGGTCGTTGCTCGCCTGGATCTGGCCCTTCTCGAGAGCCGTCTGAAAGCCGCTGAAGGCCGCGGTAATGGACCGGTCGGCGATGTGCAGCGAGCCGCAGATCACTGCCAGCATCACATCGGGCTTGTCGCTGCGCACGCGCTCGGCGATCAGGATATCCAGCCATGCGGTGTCGATGTTGTTGCTCTGGAAGGCCTCGGTCTCTAGCAGCGTGATCAGGTACTCCACGGTCGTCCGGAAGTCGCCACGGATGCTCAGCTCCTTCAGCGCGATTACCAGGTTCTCGCGCGCCTGGTTGCGGTCCTCGCCCCAGGAGAAGCAGTGGCCGAACTGCGAGTCGGCGAACTCGTGCAGGCCGCCGGTGGCGCCCACCGAGAAGTAGCCCCAGACGTTCTTGGACGAGCGAAAGTTGAGCTCTTGCACGGTACCACTACTCGGCTTGAAGCCTGAAACCGAGAAGCGGGCGCGTGTTGGTGATAACGTTGATAATCGACGTTGGTGGTTAAGCGTCGCCGCAGTCTCGGTCCATACCCTCGTCTGGATTTTCACTGGTGATCCTGGCAGCGATCACGTGGCCCCAAGGCTGGGGCTTGTGTCGGGGCTGGTCGAAGTCGATGAGACTGTCGCCCCAGGGACTCTCGCCGTAGAGCAGCCGGATGTCCTTGATGTGGTGCAGCGGCAGGCCCATAGCCACCTGCAGTTGAGCCGCCGGCAGATTGACGTCCGAGACCATCTCGGTGCAGGGGTGCTCGACCTGCAGCCTTGGGTTGAGCTCGAGGAAGTAGTAGCGGCCGGCCGGATCGTACAGGTACTCGACGGTGCCGGCGCTGACGTAGCCGACCATTTTGGCGAGGCGCACCGCTGCCTGTAGAGGACAGAGCGTCAGGGGGCGGGTTTAGGTCGGGAGTTTAGGTCGGGAGCGCGTCTCGGACGCCTCGTCGTGGCGCGGCCTACCTTCTCCATCTCCTCGAAAACCTCTGGCTTGGCGATGACCGCAGGCGCCTCCTCGATGATTTTCTGATGGCGGCGCTGGATGGAGCAGTCGCGGCCAAAGAGCGAGATGGCGTTGCCGTAGTTGTCGGCGAGCAGCTGCACCTCGAGGTGGCGCGCGCTCTTGGCAAGCTTCATGATGAAGATCGGCGAGCCGGGGATCTCGGTCTGCACTTGGCGAAATAACGAGGGCAGCTCTTCGGCGTTGTCCACCTTGCGGATGCCCTTGCCGCCGCCGCCCTCGCTGGCTTTGACCATGATGGGGAAGCCGATCTTCTGGGCGGCAGCGAGGGCCTCCTCGGCCGTGGACACGCAGCCCTTCTTGAACAGCTCCGAGGAAATCTTGATCTTCTTGCCGCTGTAGTGGGCCTTGAGCTCGGAGCCGGACCAAGGCAGCGTGGGCACCTCGGCCGTCTGGGCGACGATGCTCGAGGCGATCTTGTCCCCGAGGGCCCACATGGCGCGCTCCGACGGGCCTGCGCGAACGAATCGGCAGACGGTGAGCGTGAGCGGGCGGCCGTTGGAACCTACCGGAGCGGCGCTTACCGATGAAGCAGATGTTGTTTTTGTGCAGCAGCTCGGGCAGCTTCGGGTTCTCGGAGGCGTGGCCCCAGCCGGCCCAGACCGCCTGCACCTGCGTGCGGCTGGCGATGTCGACGATCAGCTCCACGTTGGCGTAATTATTGTTGTTGGTGCCGCCGGGCACCGGCACGTACTGGTCGGCCATCTTGATGTATTCGGCGTTGGCCTTCAGGTCCTCGGGCGTCACCATCACCACGAAGCGCACCGCGCGCTCGTTCTTGAACATCTCGTAGGACCATCTGCGGATCGAGCGCATGCACTTGACCGCGGCGATGCCGTTATTGGCGATCAGCACCTGCAAGCCCAGCGTTATTCGATACCACGGCGCGGCCGATTGCGACGCCTCGTTGCGGCAGTCGTTCCGCCGCGCCGACAGCCAACCGGCTCGTTATCGATGAGCGATGGCGCGACGCGCGCAACTTGCGCTTTTCCGCGCTGCTAATCAAGACATCGAGACAAGCTGCGCCGGAGTGCGTGGTTGGAAGACAGGAGATGGACGGGCGGAGCGGAACGCGAGGCGCGAGAGGGAGCGAACCTCGGCGGCCGGCGTGGAAGAGTTTCGCGCTCGGCGTCGGCGGCCGGGCGGAAAGGGGAGACGGGGAAGGGGCAGAGCAGGTGTCGGAGGATCGGCGTGCGCTCTCAGGCATACCTTGTTGATGACGCGTGTGCCGCCGAATCGGTGCACGAACTCCTCCGGCGTGGCGACGGTGAAGTCCTTGTCGAGCTGGCGGCTGCTCTGCGCCTGCACCATGACCGTGCCCTGGGACATGCTGGGCCTGCGGCAGGAGAGAGGACAGTTGAGCGGGGTTGGCGGTGCAAGAGGAGGCGCGAGTGGAGCGACGGGGCATGCCGGCCAGGAGAATTACGTGATTCCGTGATGGTGGAGGGCGGCGGGCGACTCGTCGATGGGCGCGCACTCGAGGCTGTGCATCCTCGTGAGCACGGCGGTCAGGTTGTCCGAGCTCTTCCAGATCGGGTCCTTCTCGCTGTTCTCGGCGAGGACGAACCTCTTGATGCGCTTCATGCCGAGCTGCGCTGCACAGGCGCCGGCCGACCGGCCAGCCGCTGCTCGCGGGCTCACGGGCCTCGGTCGGTGCGCGCGGTGCGGTGTCCCCGAGGGGGGGAGCCGAGGTCCACGGCTGGCGTTCCCGTTCCGCGCGCGCGACTGCGAGGATCGAGCTCGAGGACGAGTGCGCGGGCCGAGCGCCGAGCGACGACTGGCCCGAGGCTCCGGCAGGATTCCCCTTCTGCGCGGCCCGACGCGATCGACCTTCGGACATGTGCGCGTGACGCGCCTGGTCGCACGCGCATCAACTTTCCCACCTGCGACCTCTCGGCTCGCAGCTCTTCCGCTTGTGCGCGCTCCTACTCCGCGTTGTCTCTTGCCGTCGGCGACGACTACCTTACGCAACGAGGCTGCCTGATCTTCGGCGGACTACGCGATGACGCAGCAATTTCGTTACGCTAGCGTCACGTTTCTTATTTTGTCGCCCAGGTGAACGCCGCTGCGACCTTTCTGCATTGCTGCCTAATGCGGAAATATTCGACGCGACGTTGGCCGAGTCATTCGCCACGATTAACCACGCGCTGTTTCATCGCGTCAGCGACGTTCGTCGGTTTTCTACGCGCATTTCAATTTCGAGCAATCGCTTCATCGACGATGATGACGATGCGAGGCGTTGCACCGAGTAGGTTTGGTAGAGGGGCAATGCTTCCACGGCACGCTGAGATTTTTGCCGTTGCGAGTCGGAGGCTTCGCGACGGAGCGGCGCCCGACGCTTTCGGTGTGCTCTCTGAGAAAAAAATAGCGGTGAAAACAACGCGTAAGGCAGCGGCGAGCGATGCAACGATGCGCCGGGGAAAATTTCATTGAGTTTGTAAAAGTAGGCGCGTGGCACGACGAGTGACGAGAGAGAGGGAGAGGGGGGAGGGGGAGCGAAACGGAGCGTTATCACACGGCAGCACAATCGAGCGTAAACACAACGGTTATTACGCAAGACGACCAATCAACTTGCATAATAAATATTCATGATCGGAAGGAAAGAAACTTCTGTGTGCTTGATCGGAGGAAAAAAGCTAGGTTGACGCGCGCGCAAGCTGGTTACGCAAGTCAAGGGGGCTGGGGTCGACGAGCAGGCGAAAACGGCAAATTCGACTGTTGTGCAAAACGGCAGTCGCGGCCTACAGGTAAATAAGCGAATTACCCGTGAGTTTGGATAACGAGGGCCTGAGAAGGCCGAGCAACAAGGAGAAAGAGAGAGTGAGAGAGGGAGGGTTTGCTGCTACCTGAGCCGCTTGCGGCGCTCGACCAGTCCATTGGCGTACTGCTGTTGTTGCTGCTGCTGCTGTACCTGGCACTGTTGCTCGTCGCCGGGGAAGCTGTCCTCGAGCTCGAGGCCGGCAGCGGCGCTGTCCTCCTCGGTGTCGCCCAGCATGAAGCTCACGGGTTCGCTGGCCATCTTGCTGGCGCTGACCTCGTCCGTCGCTGCCTTGGTCCGCGAACCGCTCGCTGCTGCTGCTGCTGCTGCTGCTGCTGCTGCTGCTGCCTCTGCCTCGTCTTCCTTAACGTTACCTTCAAGTTCAAGCGAGGCCAGTCGCATCATGAGTACGTCCTTGGAGGCCGATCTCGCCGATCCCACATCCGTGACTTGGCATGCAGCCCGCGACAGCGGCGTCGCGGGCGGGGGTCGCCGAGGCAGGCGCATGCATCGAACCGGCAGATGAGCGATGAGCAATGAGCGGCCCGACGCGCGAAGACAATGGCAAGTGGAGCGTATAAATACCAGCGAGTGTGTGGAGAAGAGCTCGGAGCATATCAGCGCGCGGAGCGGAACGCCGGGCACAGACTGACGCCGCGGTGGCCGAGCGCGCGCTCGCCTTGCACTCGCGCCTCGGCGCGGTTCAAGGGTCAACCGTTCCGTTCGGCGTCGCTCGGGCGCGCGTGCACGCCGGCCCGGGCGGGGCGCTCTTGTCGCCGCGGCGTCGCCCCGCTAGCGGGTGCCCAAGCGATAAGGCGCCCGATGGAGCGGCACCTCCGGCGCTGCGCTCTTTGAAAGTCAAATAGGCCGAGGCGAAAGCCGAGCGCGAACCGGCGGCCAAGCGGAGCGAACGAGCGAAATGCAAACGACGACGATCGAGCGCGCACCGAGGTTGCACAACGGCCGCTTGCGCTGTCGACGTAGCAGCCCGTCGCGATCCGAGCTTGACAGTCCGAATTCAATGTCAAGTTGAAGCGACTGCGTGCGGACGAGATGGTGCGCGCTCGATCGGATCGCAGATGTGCAACAACACGCCACTTTTCGAAAGCGCGAACGACTCAACAAGTGATTTCACGGTCGCGCGACGATTGATTGGTGGAAATGAGCCTGACGACGGTGCCGCGCGTGCGACATTGATGAGACGCCGATGGCTGTGCGCCGGCAGATACCTGAGGCCTTGGAGCCGCGCACGGGGGCCTTCGGCGCACCAGCGAAGCGATCGCGCCGAGGAGCAGTAAGTGTCCCAGCAAGCGTCGCAAGTCGAGTGGGAAAGCCGGCGGGGTCTCCAGGACTGATTGCCAAGGGCCGTCGACTGGCTGCTCTCGCGGCTGCCGCTGACTCAACTGACTCGTTGTTTATTATCACCACTCGCTGCGAGTGCTCGCTGCTGCTAGCTCCGTGCGCTGGTTCTCTTTCTCTCCCTCGCTCTCTCTCTCTCTCTCTCTCTCTCTCTCTCTCTCCCCCCGTCGCTCCGTGTACACCTTACTACGTGCCGAGTACAGGCCCTACTGCCCCGAAATTGGATGTGCCGAGCGAGACGCGCGGACCGTGGTAACAAGACGTCTCGCGCACTCGGTCGCAGTATCGGCGTGATCTGTGAACACGTGCTCTCGCGCAAACACGAGAGGAGCACGCGAGCAGGCCCGCTGCTCGGGCCTCCCGTTCGGCCGAGCGCGGGCTAGAACTCGTGGGAAATCGAATGATTGAGCGAGCGCGCCGATTGGTCGAGGCCTCAATCAGGCGACTGCTACACACTCGGCCGGTCACGCTGCACGCTGCAGCCACTTACTGTCTATACAGGCTCACCGACACCGCTGCTCGTTCTCTTCTATTCTCTCCTAATTTGAGTCCCTCGATTATCTCTTGCCACTTCGCACGGGATCGATCGCTATCGATCTCCACAAGCACGTACGTACCTATCTATATGTATAATCCAATGGAAGCAGTAGCGGCAACGGAGGAAACGCGAGCACGCGACGCGGAGCAGCCGACGTGAGCGTTGATCATCACAATACCAGTTTGGCCGGGATGCGCGTGGAACAGAGGAGGACGAAGGGCAACAATCGAAAGTAGCCAGGAGGAAGAAAAGCCATGCACGACCACGTTGACCATTGACAGCTAAGGCATGCACGCGAGTCGTTTGGATACAGCTACTCACCGGTGGCGTATTTTCCGCGGCGCGCTCGCGGGAGTCGCCGCCTCATTCTGCTCCCGCTGCTGCTGCTGCTGGAGGTTAGCTTCGGTTTTGCCCTCGTCGCCTGTCATTCGAGACGACGATCTGCACTTTGGCCCCTTTAGTTCGATCAACGTGGACGCACCACCAGGCCGACGAGCACACCCGCGTCGACTCTAGCTGTTGTCGCTTGCCACTCCGCTAGGGCGACACGCGATTAATGTCACAGGCCCTGCTGCTACAACTCATCGGCTCTCACGCGTATTTTCACTTCCTGCTTGATTTCTTGCACATTACATTCTGGACGAAGGGCTATCTCTTTTTACTCGATCGCTGCAAGTGTAATCTACGCTCGTCGTTCAGTTCGGATCAAGGTTGTTGAATTTTAACATACGCACTGTCGTTGCCGTATCGTAGACAGCGCCAGGCGGCCTGGAGTGGAGGCGCACAAAACGTGCACACTGCACCTGTCTCTAATCTACCGACTAAGGCACTCTACTTTATCGGTCGTCATCATTTTTAAACTTCCCGCTACATCTTGATAATTTTCTTTGCGGTTTGCTCTGCGTACACGATTAGCGTCAACTGGGCATCGTTTTACGTTTACTTGCTAATTGTTGTTCAGTCACCGCTGCAATGAATAACCTTCCAATTACTGCAGGACCTCTGGTGGAAATATTAAAAGTGGTTTGTCTCCCGAATCAAACTGGCTTTTCTATTATAATTATCTATTATATTATTAGCTGCACTATTTTTATTACTCTTAGCTAACACAAGGACTATTATCTACGAACTTAATCACTAAAATTCAGAACTTTGCCAAAATCGATTATAACCTTTTGGAATACGACAATTATTTTCTGGTTCAAATAACAAAATGCGGCGTTGGCTGCACTGATCTAAAGCTTAGACTATTAATCGACAATGCCTTGACCAATCATATTGATTATAAGAAACTACGTAACATCATCGTGGCAGTTGTGGAAAAAAAGTCTCTGAACAAAATCAGAATCAAAAAAGCCATTTACAGATCGAATTCTTCACTTGTATTGCGCACAGTTAAGATCGATCCAACTCAAAGGGACTTTTGTGTTTTCAAATCTTACACTTTGATTAAATTTTTGGTAAATTAAGTCAATAGTTTATTTTTCACAGTAAAATAAAATCTTGAATTTACAAAAATTTACTAAAATATGTAAATTTTTTGAGAAACATGAATTCAAGAATTTTTTTACAGCTATCATTTATTTGGTGCTCAAGAAAATTGATCTGACGCGACGATTTTTTTTTAGCTTCATTTGGACAAAAATGATTTTCAAGAGTTTTCATCGTTACTGGAAACTTTCCTGAAACACATGGCAAATGCTTATTCTAAAGTCAAATTTGTCTACAGAAACAGTAATCAATATTTTTATAGAAATCTCGTTCCAATGGATGATATTCTTTTGAGCTGCAATCTCGTAACGTCGTCTCTTTTAAACATGTTTAAAAATATTCGAAAAAGTAATCGCATATATTACAATAATCTTAAAAAACTACTTGGTATTAAAAATTCAGGTACCTTTGAAAAAACGGTAACTTGCGTTCTAGTATCGAAAGCCGATGATATTTTTATGGATACGGAAATCTTTTAAAAGGTCTCGGCTGATTTGCTTTTGAATGCAAATATTATCGTTTATAATTTTTTCGATCATGTTTAAATACTTCATTTGATTTAATAATTATGTTTAGTTTTAATTTACATTTTAAAAATCCATATACCATTTATGGCTGAGACCACTTTGATTTTAATTTAATGATGTGCAAACAATTGTCTTTTTATGTTTGAAAAATCATACCAAGCAACAAGTTAAGTTTTGAAAGTAATTGTTCTTTTTTATGCGAAAGCAAAGAGACAAATCAATGATACTCCGATTAGTATTTAAATCATACACACACACACACACACACACACACACACACACTGATATATATTTGATAAAATCTTTAGCTTTGATAAACTTTTATTTTTACGTAAAATCGTTGAAAAAACTTGAATAGCGTGTTCGAGTGGATCTGCTAGGTCAAAAAGACCTTTGCTGCAATTACTAAACTTTGTTGTAATTACACGATCTATGATTCAACAAAAGTCGCATAATAAATTGGATACCAAAAATGAAATAAATCAAGCGAGTAAAAATTTCCCGGTTTCTTGAAATTTTATCTCGACGTCACGACACACGGGTAATGGCAATTATAATGTGTACCGTGACGGTCAATTATAAATTGCAGCTAAGCTATGCGCTATATATAGTAAAAAGAGATATAGATATATGTAAGCGCAACATGGCTTCCATATGCTATAGGCATCAGTCTTTTCTCTCTGTTTCGCTCTTGCGGGGAAATTTAGTAAGCAGAGGCGCCGCGATCCGCGACAAAGTACGCGAGGAGACGAATCCCCTCCTTAGTTAAGTTGACTAATCAAAGATTCTATATAATGTTTAGATTTTTGTTTAGAATGGCGAATCTCGTTGCAACTTGCAGTGTCGTCCACGTCGAGACTCGACTTGAACGAATTACTTGTTGATCGAGTGATTAGAATCGCGCAAGAAGAGCTCATTTGTGATGTAGTGTTTCTATGTACAAACAGGCCACAGAGCGTGTATATGGCATAGCATGTGACAAGTTACTAATGGGTGAACGAGGCTGGCATTTAGCCTCGTCGTGATGTAATTGTGCAGCTGCGGGGAATCATCCGTCTAAGGATGCGGAGTACGGTTAAGTCTCTGCGAAAAAGGACTAAAGTGGTACGAGGAGAAGACGATCAAGCGACAAAGGCAGATCTTCAGTTGGCCGTAATCGCGCGTTGTTAGCCGAGGGCTGGGCAGTTGTTGACAGCGGAGAGCCGCGAGCAAAGAAAACAAGGCTGTGCGCGCGCGTTAATCGAATTGACGGACGGCCACGACTCGGGCGACAGGACGGTGGCAGAGAAAACAGAGACCCAAGTCATGACCATGTGAAGCGCTGCGTTGCCTGCGCAATTGCGACAGCAGGGAATTTGCATACGAAATGCGAAACATCGATAAACATGGCGATTCATCGGTGAACGCGCGGAGGAGGAAGCGAACGGTGGTGGACTAGGCCTCGCTGGTGCTCGATATTCGCGTCGCGGCTTGGAGGTTATGTCTACGAAGAGGAGCAAGTGCGAGCGAGGAAACGGCGCTGTGCGGCGGCGGCTATGTTAGGGCTGCTCTGTTTATTTACACAATAACGCAATAGCTGATCGTAGCCTCTCCCCTCCTCTGCCGCGACGACGAGACGAGAATTACACAAGTGCGCGGCTAAATCAGTCCGTCAAGATTGCCTATTTTTGTTGGCCATTCAGTCGGGGGCTGTGCCCTCCTTCGGTGAGTATTCTCTGATTGTTGTCCGTGTGCCAGCTGCGAGCGACAAGAGATACGGCAGCGTCATTTGTCTCTTGGCATTCGCACGCAACGGACTGATTCGCGCCTGTCGCGCTCGCAGACGTGTATCCGTCGGTCGTCTGGCGTACTCTCGCTGGCCGCGAGACCTCGGAATGGTCATTGATGGGCGTGTTGGGGACCGGCGGTGTTTGTAAACGCGCGGCGAGTGACAGCTGTTGGCTACCGTCAGCGCGGACGAGCGCTCTGCTTTCGCCATCAGCTCTCGACTTCTGCCGCCAATCGGCATCGAGTGCCTCGTCTGGTCTTCTTGACGGTTGTAGGCCTGCCGGCGAGAGCTTTCACGCGACCACGGACTGGTCGGACACGGACGTACCTACGCCTGCGAGCGCTCCGATTTATCTGGCTGGTTCTGGGCTCACACTGCCCGCGAATGGTGGACATTAAACGGGGGGGGGGCCTCGTCGTCAACGAAGCTTCAAATTGATTCAGCCAGACGTGTCTGCTGGCCCGTATCATAGCTCTATCTACGAGTGCGCTCGTGGCCGATTAGCCTATTAAATTCTTGCCATGCGGGTCGTCTTACTGTTAGTCACGTCGACGTAGCCAGTGTGCCCGATCGGTAGAGTCGCCCGATTGGACATGCACGCATAACGGAACGGCACTGGTCGATCGCTGGTCGCGCTGGCGCGCGCCGACCCGTGCCAATCGATCGAACGCCAATCGGAAATGGAAATCTGGCAATTTGCAGGGAGCAGCAGCAGTGGCGACGAGATGCGAGGGCTCGGGCGAGGGCCGAGGCGCGGCGGCGGTGGCGGCTGACTGATCGCTCTGCACGGGGACCTCAGTTCGGGCTCGCCCATGAAGAGACTGCAGAGGATGCCGGGAGCCTCGTTCGAAAGACCCCGGGTGTACAAGCTCAGCGACATCGAGCCGCACTCGTCCAAGGTGAGCAGGCGGCCGCTCGACGTTCCCCCGGTGTTCGCCCGGCGCTCGCCCGGCGCTCGCCCGATGCTCGCCCGATGCTCACCCGGCTTCTTTGCACAGGGCCCGGGGACGCACGGCCGAGGCAGCGACGAGTCGGCGGGTAGCCCGCTCAGCTCGGCAGGCCACGTGGGCAGCATCGCGCGCTTCCCCAAGCTCGACGAGTGCGCGCACTTCCACTACGAGCACGTGGAGCTGGGGCGGCTGGAGGTGGCGCCGGGCGCGGAGGAGCCGGCGCGCCAGGAGCTCGGCGCCGAGGCGCTGTCCATCCGCGTGACCTCGGGCGACGCTTGCTGGACGCTTGAGCGCACCCACGAGAATCTGGTGATGTTCGACCGGCAGCTGCACCGCTGCATCTTCGACCGCAGCTTCTCGCGGCTGGCCGAGCTTTGCGAGGAGCAGCCACTGCGCGCCGAGCAGCTGCGCGCCTACTTCGAGCGCTTCTCCGGGCTGAGCCACGAGGGCCTCAACTGCGGCCCGGTGCTCAACTGGCTGCAGCTGGATAACCGTGGCCGGCGAATACTCGTGCCCGAGGCCGACAACTGCCCCATCAATACGCCCGCCGTAGCGGCGGCCTACGCGGTGCGTCCCTACCAGGCTCAAGCGCAGGACGAGATCTCCTTCCAGGTGGGCGACATGATCAGCGTGATCGACATGCCGCCGCCCGGCGAGAGCAGCTGGTGGCGAGGCAAGCACGGCTTTGCCGTGGGCTTCTTCCCGGCCGAGTGCGTGGCCGTGATCGGCGACAAGCTGCCGCGTCACCTGGCACCGCTGCAGCAGCAGCAGACCGGTGCGCCCAAGGCCCAGCCTGTGAAGCCGGTGCTGCGCAAGCATGGCAAGCTCATCGCCTTCTTCCGGTCGTTCATCCTGAACCGGCCATCGCGGCGCCGCCTCAAGCAGTCGGGCATCCTGCGCGAGCGCGTGTTTGGCTGTGACCTCGGCGAGCACCTGCTCAACTCGGCGCGCGAAGTGCCCAACGTGCTGGCTTGCTGTGCCGAGTTCATCGAGCGCCACGGCCTCGTCGACGGCATCTACAGACTCAGCGGCGTTAGTTCCAACATCCAGCGATTGCGTCACGCCTTCGACGAGGACCGCGTGCCGGCGCTGCACACCGACGAGGGCATCCTGCGTGATATCCACTCGGTGGCCTCGCTCCTCAAGATGTACTTCCGCGAGCTGCCCAACCCACTCTGCACCTACCAGCTTTACTCGAGCTTCGTCGGCGCGGTGCAGCCGGCCAGCGATGCCGAGCGCCTCGCCAGGATGCGCGATGCGGTGCGCAAGTTGCCGCCGCCCCACTATAGGTAGGCCAAAGTCGGCCGTGCACCCTCTACCGTACATCGCTTTACGCGCCGCCGTCTCGCTTGCAGGACCCTTGAGTATCTGATGCGGCACTTGGTGCGCGTGGCCGCTCGGGGCGAGGAGACGGGCATGACCGCTCGCAACGTGGCCATCGTCTGGGCGCCTAACCTGTTGCGCTGCAAGGAGCTGGAGGTGGGCGGGGTGGCCGCGCTGCAGGGCGTCGGCGTGCAGGCAGTGGTCACCGAGTTCCTCATCTGTTACGCCGAGCTGATCTTCGCGGCCGGGCCACTCGAGGGCGCGAGCGCCCCGGAGATGCAGCGGCCTAAATCGCTGGCCATCGCTGCCAACTCGTCCTCGCGACTGCTGAGCCTGGAGGAGGCGCGCAGCCGTTCCGTCGCCCCGGAGCCGGCGCTCATCGAAGTGGGCGCTGGCTCGGCGGGCCTGCCTCAGCACTACCACACTGTCATCGAACTGCCCGCTGGCCAGCGCAAGCGCCACGGCTCCAAGCGCTCGCCGTCGCTCAACTGGCGCGCGCTCTTCGGCGGCGGCCGGGGACAGAGCGGCGGAAGCCAGGCCAAGGCGCGCTCCACCAGTGCGAGCGAGGCTGGCCCAGCGGCCGTGACCGGCGGCGCCGTAGGGGGTGCGGGCGCGCCCACGGGTCTCGCACGCGCCGAAGAATTGGGCGGCTCGTTGCGTCGCCTGCTGCGTCCCGTGAAGAGCGCCGACAGTCTGGACGGGGCCGCGAGCGCCGCCGCAGCCGGCAGCGAGGACGCGCTGGGGCCGCTGTTACTCTGCGGGCCGAGCGCCGGTGAACGGCGAGCCTGCGGCCACAGTCGCTCAGTCTCGCACGACTCGTACTTCGAGCACTTGGGAAGCGGCGACGCAGCGAGCGCGGCCTCGGGCCTCGACCTTTCGGAGATCCAGCTCAACTTCGAGCTAGAGGAGCGCGAGATGCGCATTTTGTCGGAGGGCACGGCCGCCGACAGCGCGCGCCAGTCGCTCGAGGCCTCGCCGCGCAGGCAGCGCGCCGCCCAGGAGTTGCCGGACGGCTGCTTGCCCGACATCGTGACCGAGGAGTCGACCTCTGCAGCCGGCGACGCCCCGGCCCCGGGCGGTTCGGGCGGTGGCGGCTCCAAGCGCAAGCGCTCGCGACTCGAAGAGCGGCTGCAGTGCGACGTCGACTTGCGCTTCATCGACAGCCAGAGTCCCGACCAAGTCATGGTCACGGCCGACGTACACGACATGGAGACGCCCTCGCCTCTACCCACGCCTGGCTATCTACCACTGCTCTCCGAGGCGTCCACGCCGCTCACGCCCAACGCTAGTCCCGTTGCAGTCAGTCCCCGGATAAGCTTCAAGAGCTTCGCGCTGCCGCTACACGTTGACGAGCGCTTCGGGCAGGCGACCAAGAGCGACCAAGCTGAGAACGTCAATCTACTGCGCACCGGTTCGACCAAGTCCTCCAAGGAGCGGGACTCGTCTTCGTCGTCTTGCCAGCCAAACGAGGAGGGAAGCGCTATGGATGCTTGCGAAACGGCCGGCGAGTGCCCCTCGGTAGACGCTGCTCAACAGCAGCATTTGGGTTTTACTTCGCCCTCGTCGATAATCGTCGATCAAGAAATGAGGCCTTGCGAAAAGTTATCCGCCTCGGATACATCCAGTCAGACACCTCAAGCCACGTATCAAGGGTAATTTTGAATAATTTTTCCTTATTAGACTTTGGCACCAACTAACAAGACAGATTAGAGATTAGACGTGCTTGAATCTCTAACCCTGCAAGCTTTTTCGACGTGCTCCTACTACCGCCAACTACCCGGCTGACAGCTCAAATTAAACTAACTTTTATCATATTTCGACAATTATACCTACAAAACGAGACGAGAGTGATAAACGACCCATAGCACGTTGACTTTTCATTTCCATCTTATTTCAGCCTCCATGTTTCTCCAAGTATACCAAATTCGACACAGCAAGCTGAAAAGCTTAACAATCTAGACAATACTTTTGTCGTTAGTGAGTTAACGAACCAAACTTCAGGGCAACAGAGTTCTGTTTCGTTGAGTAGTCAAGCGCCAGATTCGTTAATCATGACTGATTTAGATTCTTTGATGCCATATGAACAGAGTTACGATGATTCGTTGCACTCTAATGTTGATTCCATTGATTCCCAAGATAAAGTTGTGCATCGAGGTCAACCTGCTGAAAACTGGCTCATAACAGGTAATGCAGGTAACGCTTATTGCACCGATCTAAGTATTCTATATTAAAACGATTTTAAACTTTTTTTTTGTTTTTATGTGTTATTTTGTTTAGCAACGTCGTTGGATAGTTTGGAAGAAGGGTTATTAGTAAATCGTGCATCCAACTCCAATTCTCCGAAAATTCTAGCAGCTCAAGAATACGTATCTAGTTCTACTATTGCTAATAAAGATTGTCAAGAATTAATGTGTTACTCATCGGCAGATGAAGCTTATCACAATGAAAGTAGTGATCGACGTTTAATTCCTGCTATTGAACCGTCTAGTAATAAGAGCAACTCTAAAATCGTCCGAAGCGTAGACTCCAATGTGATAGATGAAACTATATCGGACAAGTTAATTTCTTTTGAAATACAAGTACACTCTGTCAATGTAGAACCACTAGAGATTCAGAACCCACCTCCAACTGCTTCAATTGCGAATCCTAATAGTGACAGTCTTAAGAATTATGAAAGTAATCAAATCAAAAATTGTTCGTTCAACTGGAAACTTCTCGGTGATCAAAACTCCAATGAAACAAATCAAAGCAAACAGAGCCAAGAATGTCGATTAAATTCAGATCCAAACAATCAATTTTCAGACAACGATAATTGTGAAAATATAGCACCAAATACCGAAGCAATTTACGAGCAAAAACACAAATCAACGGAGCAAAATAATGGCGAAGAATCAAAAAAACCTTTCAACGCGAATAATCAACGCTTGTTCGAGCAAGTCTCAAATTCGAATAATTTTAACTATTCCCGGACTGCAAGTTGCCATTTGAAGGTAACAGTGGAAAGCAACAGAGCGCAGAACGACATAGAACCTGTAGTTCCTGCTGATAATGCGGCAGTAGAGCCCGAAGAGATGGCTCGCGTCCCGGAGATGCATGCCGAGAACAACGCTTTGAACTCATCTTGCAACTATTCGCCTTTGAGATATGGAAGCCTCAAGAGAGGATCAAACATCAACAAGGACACCGCCAGCATTCTACAGGAGCTGGCTTTGCAAAGGCTATCGGGTGGTGACAGCGTCAACGCTCGTCGAAGATACGACTCGGATTCGGTGAGAGACAGGCGGAGCTTCGACTCGGAAATTGGGCGGGAGATCGTACGCGAACATAAAATGAAGCAAGAGCTCGAGCACGCGAGGGTCAAGTTTGACGAGTCGTTGGCAAGCGGAAACAATCAAAAGTAAGTTTGCTTTACTAGCAGTGTTGTTCTTTGATACGTTATTTGTTAAGCCAATCGAGCTAACTAAGTTGCTTAATTCCAGCGTGCCGCCGCCGTCACATCTGCCACCGTGCTTGAGGGCCCGACATGCCAGAGCAACCAGAGCGGCATTAAGCCGTTCCCTCGACGAGGCGAAATTCAACAAAATGACAAATACGCCTGTGGGCGAATATCTAGCGCGGATAAAACAAGACAAGTCAGAGAATTCTAAGCAGCAGCAGCACGCCTCGACGCCCAACGTCGGCGACAGCAAGTCGAGCTTGCAGCTCGTCGGCGCCTCCGAGAGGTCGAGCCATCAATCGCTCAATAAAAATCTCGGTCTGGATCTGGATGATCCGCGCTGTCGCGAGAGAATCGAAAAGTACAAAGAGGAGAGACGCACCTTCCTCAGAGACAAGTATAGATCTGAGAGTTTTCGGGCTCAAGTGAGTCCGGCGACTAGCCACGATGCCAAAAGCAGCCAAGAGGATGGAGAGCAAGCCTTGCTGGCAAGACTGAAACAGCGAACTTCCAGACCCTCTCTACTCTGACATACTTCTGACATTCATACACGTACCAACGCGATCCCTTTAATGTTTAATGTTAATTAATATACTGAGCCTCGGTCTGAATATACCTAGAGCAAGCCTAATTGTTATTAAAGTCGTGCAATCAACTTTTATCGATTATATATTATAGAGACTTTTTAACGAAATAATTATTCTGCACGATATTCTAGTATGTTAACTCGTTGATATCTTCATTCATTTTTTTCGAGTGCAGTTTATTGTTTGTAAATTTCATTGTTATTCTATTTTTTAAGCAATTTATTGCTTTTACTTGGAAAAAAAAACGAAGAATGGTTTGTTGGCATTTATCTAAACTCATTAGTCTCGTTAGCGTAAATATAGTAAAGGCATTTAAGCAAAAGAAGTAGATAGCAGCATAGTGTCCAATCTGTCATCAACGAATTTTCTCTCTTTTTCTGGTAATAGCTCATTTTCGAGAAGCAAGTTTATTTTTCTTCTCGAATAACGTTAGATATATCAAATGACGTTTGAATTTCACTGATGCTGACCTATGTTAGCCGAGTACTTTTTTAGTAATAAAGCTGCGCTAATAATTTCTGCGATTAAATGCCTGTAATATTCAGTTTGTCTTATTAAAAAATTGTACTTTATTAAAGAAATTGTAGTATTTCAATCAATTAGTCGTAACAGTCTTGATTGAATACAGGCAAGGAAGCTTACCATTGTAGACTGGTCTGCTGTGGTACATACAAAATAGTTTTTTTCATATGTTAGACTTTTATTTACTTTTCATGATCACGTGATGTTTTAAGATGAATCGTCTTGCCACAGCAGTGATCACGCCTCTTCGAGACTTGAATCGCTACTTTGTCTACTAGGTGATATAAAATGTAACATTAAAATAGTAGCTTGCTACTCGACAATGAGTCCATAGTCACTATGTAGTTTTTTTGTAGCACAGAGGACTCCACGACTAGTAACAGTTACTTGAATTAATTATTTCCATTAGACACGCGCGCGCGCGTTCGCACATACACACACACACACACACACTCACACACACACACACACAGCACTAGGCCAGACGGCAGCAAATACGATGACAATACAGTCGTAAAATATTTATATGCATAATAAATATTATTCGAAACTTTCTTCTATTTAGAGAGATACATTGTAAGCCTCAAGGTTAATTGTTGATCTACAGCTACGAGTGAAGCTATCTGTGTAAAACTTGATGAATTTTATGCATTTATACATCCATTATACTCGAACGTTTCTTGTGATATGCTTCTTGAAAATAAATCATACAGGTTTCAATAGTATGAAAGTGAATATTACGTAGGCTAGCTACACTAAAAATTCACATTCTACTCGCAAGGCAATATTGTCAGAGATGTCTGGTACGATTATAATTAAATCATGCCACTTTTTGCAAATGGAAAATGATCTACTTTTCATTAATTTATCATCTTCAATTTCTTCTTATTCATGTATCGTGCGATTTTGTTTATAATTTTTGTTACAATAAACAAAAATATGAAAAAACATAGATCTTAATGATTTCTTTTATTTCTTGATTTTTTTAAATTTGAATAAGGAAATCGAAAGGAAGGGAAACAGTTGATTTCGTCAACGCTAGTTGGCAGCAGTAGGCGGGGTTTTCAACTGCGTAGTGAATGTACGCTCGGGATCGTCATGTGAATCCGTGGAGTATGGAACGTCAGTGTAGTAGCAGCAGAGTAGCAGCAGCTTCTCTCGCGCACATAGTCAGTGCCGCGAAATTCTTGCACGGAGGCTATAACGATCAATAATTTATCTTTCAAAAAGCAATACAACTTTGTAATATAGGCAGTAGCCGCAAAGTTGATAGAGTAGTCTTATCGAATGTGGGCAAGTGCACTTGTGTCTTGAGAACGAGTATTGACACCATATGATTGCTAATTTAACCAATATTCACACAACTGACAGCGTAATAAAGAGGTACGTATTTAGGATCCGTGTGCCAATTTATGTATACTTACTGCACTTACCTTCATTGAAATTTTTTGGTTCGCACACGGTTCCGTAACCCTCGCTACATTTTTTAAGCACACTGGATAGACTATAACCGCAGTCAATGCTCGTACGCAAACTATTCTTATCAAAAACGAGGAAATTTTAGGATAAACCCTCCGATTATTTCGTTATATCGGCGAGTGATATATCTATCTGCAGAGCGTTTTAGAAAATCAGTAGATTTTATCTATGCATAGCTAAAAAACAAGTAGCATACTTGATATATTTTATTTCATGCTCCATTTGCCTATTTTATTCATACAAATGAAATGAAATTTGGATTTTTATGGTTAAATAGAAATATGAAAATGGACAAGTTAAAATAGATTGGTACTAGCGCAAGTAGTTAGCAAGAAATTTACGTTTTGATGATTTTGATTAAGTGCCAAGAGCTTACCCCAGTGATGATATCTTTGTGTTAAATTTGATTGATAATTTGTCTTACAGGCTGCTCTACAACTTGAAACTCTATGCAACAAAGATTTGAATTGATTTTAAATGATTTTTACTATTTTTCCTGGACTATTGGTACGACATTGCAAAGGTAACATTGTCATTTTGTTTAGCTTTTTATTATTGCTAGGTATTTCAAAATCAATCAAAAACATGTTAAATTTTTGCAGAAATCGTCATCATGAGGAATCTGCTACTAACAAGCGATCATGTAACCATTGCTCGAGAAATGCGGCAGTGTGAGTAGTTAAGAAAAACTTACCAGAAGCATTATGGCTGATTCAGGATTAGAAACAGGTTCTGTGACTAGTCCGCAAGGGACGATTTCCGAGAATTCGAGCACAGACCTTGACGAGCCAAACGAATCGGAAATAACAATAAAGACTGAGCAAGTTCCAAAAATTGGTAATTTTTGCATGACAGCATACGATTACAGAGATTCAACGAGAGAAAATACAGCAGTTAGGGATGAAATTGCGGAATACGAGAATCGCGTATTGAGCGATCCTTTTTACGAGTTGAACGGTGAAAGCGACAACGACGACGATCAAGCAAGCGTTCACGGGCCTGCTTCATCGTTGCAATTCTCTTCTCAGCCCAACTCGTTTTATTTGGATAATCGTAATAATGGGCCAACGAAAGAGGGCCCATTGAAGAGAGACATCATTCAAAACGGAAAAGAGGACGACATTCGCGTTGGGGTAAAAAAATTTTGCCAATCACGATTCGCGAATGATGTCGTTTCTTCTAACGAACTATTGTGACTTTGATTGCAGCAGTCGCAGTCGCCGCCACCACCAAAACGCCAGGCGAGCAACTCGTCGGTGAACAATTACTACTTTATAGACGCGTCGAGTCTGAACGACGATATAGACGTGAACACGAGCAACATCGTCGGCTACCCAAACGAAGATAATACGAGACTCAATTGGTCGAATCCTCAAATGCCGACGAATTGCTACTCTTCGTCGCCGAAATTCAGCTGCATCTACTTGAACGACGACCCGGTGAAACTACCCAGTCGAATGAGCATGAGCGCGCAGAGCCGTTACGACGTGGGTTACGGCTACAAACCCAGCGCTGGCGCGGACTCAAAGAAGGAGGCGGAGGAGTCGGTGAGCAACGACAAGGAGTCACTGGCGGTAGAGATCAAAGAGGCCGACAGCGGGGAGAGCGCCCAGCACTCGCCTTGCCCCGACAACACCAAAATCAACGCCGCCAAGGATGAGGAGACGATGGCAGCGCGCCGGGCATCGCTTATCCGGCGCAACACTTTTGAACTGGAGGCCACCGACGAGAAGCTGTCAAGCTTGCGCCAAGAGTACGAGCGCCGCCAGGGCAGCTTGGTCTTCCAGAACTCCATTACCCAATACTCGCAGCATCGCATCGACGACGACGCCGTCCCGCCTTACTATGAGGTTAGCGGCTTCGACGGCGGTGACGGCTTGGCACCCGACAAGTACAGGCTCGACACCAGCCGGAAGGATGCCAGTGCTGTGCTACCGGGGACCTGCGGTGGCCTGGCTAGGAGTGCCAGTGATAAGTTGCTAAAGCGTCTGGTAACCGGTGACGCCGATGCAGCTTTCAGCAGCCTGCCTCTTAGCATCAATGATGAGCTCGGGCCCACCGCCGCTGCCGTCAAGTCACGGATCCGCCGTAACGACGCGGCGCCCATCATCTCCGGCGGCTCCAGTAGCTCGGACTTTCGTAAACCGACCGACAGCCCAACTGTAAAGCGCAAGACCGAGTCCACACCTATACTGTCAGGCGGCTCGGTGCTGATGGCACTCGCCGAAACTGCGCAGCCCAAGTCCAAGCCCAAGTCACAGCTGCCGTCGTCAACAGCCGCTTGGGTTGTCGACATGAGCGACTGCCGAGGCAGCGGCACCGATGGCCCCACGGCTGCTGCGCAGAGATCTGTCATGTCAGCGAGCTTCGGTTCCTCGACGACCTCGGCGTCCTCGAGGGAGCGAGAGCGCGAAAGGCAGCCCTCAAGCCTCGGCTACTTCGTTAACCTAGATGAGGTGCAGAGCGGCGATGACAAGCGAGAGCGGGTCAAGCCCGCGCTAGAGGCCAAGCACAGGCGCAGGCCAAGTGACAGTTCCAGGAGTTACTGCGAGTTTTTCGTCGACCTATCGGAGAGGCCGAGTGGCGATAAGGAGCGGACCAGCGAGGGACCCGAGTTGCAAGCCGCGACTGCTCTTTGCGATTCCAACGACGCCACTGGTAAAAAGAACATGTTCTCTATGTTCATCAACTTGAACGACGTCGCAGCGGGCAAGCCCTCGCAGAAGCCCAATCAGATCGCTAAATCAAGCTCGTTCTCCAAGCTGGCTGAGAAGCGCCAAGAGCTTGCGCAAAAGCTTGACTCCGGGATGGAGGCACCCGCCGAGCAGAAGAAACCTAAATCAGGCGTGTTCATGTTCATCGAGTCCGACTCACCGATTGTTAGGCGGCGCACGATGTCGAGCTCGCGGCCGGCATTCAAGCGCCACTCCTGGAACATGGACAAGAGCCAGGAGCAGTTGTTACCGAGCGGCAACGAGCAGCAACAGCAACAGCAGCCGCCACCGCCGCCGCCACCACAGCCGCCGTCGTCGTCGTCGGATCTCGTTGCTAAGCGCTTACACAAGCGCGCTCACAGTTTGTCGGTCGATCGCAACACTACGCAGGATTTGCGCAAGATGCTCGCACATAAGTCCAGCACCTCTAGTCACTTGCTCAACGAAGAGCTCAACATGGTTGAGTCGCTGCAGACGGAGCAGCAAAAGCAGCACCAGCAGCAGCAAGGTGACGAACGCAAAGACGATGCCTTCGACTACGACATTAGAGATACGCCCCCAAATTCACACGTCGAGATTATCGACGAAGAACTGCTCGTCAGCCTGAAGAACAGGAACTACCAGGAGCTCGACGCCATTAATGATCAGACAGCCACTGGCGATAAGAGCCGCAAGCCAGATGATTGTGCTTCCGAGAACTCCCTGTGGGATAAAACACCGACTGACAACACCGAAACTCAACAAACGCATAAAAGCGAGACTTTTGACATTAGCAGCAGCACTACTGGTCCATCTTCTTCCAGCGACAATGTCGAGTTTAAACTACCCGATCTTCTCGACGTCACGCAAAATAAGTAAGTTTCCACTGTTACTGGTCGTCTGTAAACCTACTGCCTTATATTTACTGCCCGCTATTCAATTCCAGGTTAACGAATAATACGCTGAAACATATCAGTCTGGAAAATTCGCGAAACGAGAATAACCACGAAAAAATTACCAATTCCAATGGCGTCAATGCTGCTGCTACCAACACCTCAAGCTTCGTGAAGCTTTCCGATTTGGATAAAAAGCCTCCTTCAACCAGTACAAACTCAGGCACGCCGGCTTCGACGAGCCGTGAAACACCTTACAGAATGAGTATAAGCGTTACGGAAACCTCGTGGATCGAGAACAGATTGATTATGGCAAACAGATCCGCCGCCGATTTTCACAGGCCATACATAAAGAAGCTTCCATTGAGTATTCCAAAGTGTTCCAAATTGGATATTTTCGATGACTTTGGTGGCGAGGGAGACGTCGAAGCTGTGATTTCTGAATCAGATATATCTAGTTTGCAGAGTAGTATGGGTCGGTCCGGTCAAGGTATGTTGTTCCACTAAAGCCGTAGAAATTGATTTTTATTCATACATATTCACCATTGACAGGAAGTACCGAGGAAACGGAAACATCGACAAGTTTCGCGCTAGGGAAACCGTATAATAGATTAGGAGAAGATCTACTTCGAATGTTTTTAGACGAGATCAATCCCGATGTGACTATCGACGTGAGTGGTCGACGGATAAGAGCCCACAAGTGTATATTGAGCTCTCGGTGTCAGTATTTCGCAGCTATCCTGAGTGGGGGTTGGATCGAGTCTGCCGGCAATGTCATTTCCTTACAAGGGTACAAAAACTTCAGTTTCCTTAACTATATGGCCTCTCATTTGCATGTGTTTCATTATTAACAGGTACTCTTACAATGCAGTTCACTTTGCACTTTGCCACATATACAGCGGTGAAAGCTGTATACCAGACTCTATAAGTATCGTGGAATTGGCGACGCTAGCAGATATGCTGTGTTTAGAGGGTCTGAAAGAAGTTATAGGTTTCACTTTAAAGGTCAAATACTGTCATTTATTCCATAAAGTACGTATCATTACATTAGAATCGGGCATTTGTCGTTGATATTTTTTCAAGTAGCAACTCTGATTTACAGCCTTGTAAAGGTTGCTCCGTTGGTGTCTTGGAGTGTATGCCCCTAGCTGCTGCTTACGGTTTAGACGAAGTCTACCGAAAGTCCCTTAGGTGGGTAACACGACATTTTGTCAGAATATGGCCAACTAAGGAATTTGCAACTCTACCTCGAGAGTTAATGGACAAGTGCTATCATCAGCATATTGTTCACATGGTAAGAAATCGTGAAGGATATCTATGGCTCTTTCAATGAAATTGTAATGCTATAAATAAATAATTGATAGTCTACCGACAACGTACTGCAAACCATTATGGACTGCGACAAGCTTTTAACTACGTTACCAAATGTTCGGTGGGCTGAGCCAGTTTTCCGTCTAGTTTCCAATTTACTTGACGCCTCGATGAAATATCTTACCGACAATTTCGCCAGTGTGCTCGGCAACGACGGCTTCCAAGTGCTGGATCGCGAATTGACGTGGAACATGAGTCGCTTGGAGGATCATTTACTGGCAGCCGCTGAAAGGCTACCGCCAGAGCAAGCTTGCAAATCATATTCAAAGCTCGATAAAATTTTTACAGTGGCGCAATTTGACAATTCTCAGCGCGCTAAATTCAAGTCGACTCCCTTGTTCATGGATTTAATGGAGAAAATCCGTACACAAGTGGAGAAATGCCTGGTGCGTGACGCTGCAAGAGCTGCTAGAACCAACGCCTGGCTGAAAATGGACTTGGAACTTCGTCGTCGCATACAGGAGATGGCCTGTCTGGTCATACTGCCGAACGAGTCGACGAAGAGGCCCTCTAGACATTCCAATTTCATGAAGGTATTTCTATTTTTTTTAGCGCGATATTCGTTTCTATCGATAGTCGTACGATTGCCATGGTTGGCATTGTAGGAGCCGAAAGATCGCCAAGACAATAAAACCACGGCAAGTCGTGTCACGACGACTACACGTAATTTGGATTTACGCCGAGTGAAGATGGCGATTTCCGAGCATAACGACAGAACGCTTAAGCAGACGCCCTTGCTGCAGACTAGGAAGCTCATGAATAAACCGAAAACAGATCCGCTCGAGAGGAAGTTACAAAATGATAAATCAACGAACGACGTGAATAGTGTATCGAGGCCAAAGTCGTGGCCCAATAAAATTGAGGTGAGTTTTGAACACGCAGGCTACTCGCGACAATTATGTTCAACCGAATGTTGTACCATGAATAACAAAACTGTTTTTGTTACTAGGTAAAATCACGATACTTGGAACCAAGGAACAGGCCAAGCATCAAAGATTCGACGTTACAATCGAATCACGAAAAGGCGGTAGCTACGACAGGAACAGTTAATCAGCAAAGGAAGAAGATATTGATTTCGTCATCGGATTCGTCGCGAACGTCTAGTCCCGCCATGAAACGTGCCGCAGAGAAAAAAGCCCTCGCAAAAGTCCCAATGAAGAAAGACGGTAAAACTTTATCCTCGGACAGCATCAATAGCAATTCGGAGTCGATGTCGCGCTTGGGTGCTCGAAAACAAGCCACTAGCAAAAGTTGCGGAATAACGAGGGCTGAGTCGCCGTCACTGAAAGCAAAACACGCTGACACTGGTCTATCGGTAGACTCGCTGTCCGATTCCCAGAAGAAGGCGTTGATCAAAGCGACCAAGTTGGACACATCTACGGACAGCTTGGCAACTGAAACCACTTCGATGGCCACTCCAAAATCTACGATCACCAATAAATCGTCTCCCATTTTTGATAAAGCAATAACCAATGTGAGCTTGAGTCAGAGACAAAGTTACGACAAAACGAAGAAATCGTCGCCGCTAGCTCAGCAGCGTAGTAATTCGTCGAACGCGACGCGTAGACCGGCTCGCTCGGTGGAGAGTTCGACTGCGGCTAGTCGGAGTAGGGCGGCCGCGACAGTTAGCAGCTACAGCGGCTCGTTAAATTTAAGGAAGAGCCTCTTGGACGCGGCCAAAGCACCAGACATTCCAAGTAAACCGGCAACGAATCCTCTGGCGATGACCAGGTCGACTTTTCGACAGTCGACCCTCTCGATGAGATCGTCATTCACCGCGAAGGACAAGGTGCAGGAGAAAAAGTCGGAGGATTTCAATCAGAAATCAAATCTGAGTCCAGCCAGCAAGAGATCCCCCCGAACCACTGTCAACTCTAGGCTAAGCAAATCCAATATCGTTACAACTGGTAAGCAGAAATTGACAAGTAAAATCGAAGACAAGTCGTCCAACAAAAACAAGTCGCAAACTACAGCTAGCGTTAATCGAGATGGTCCCAAGTTCCTTAATCAAAGTTCGAGGTCAGGTACTTTCTTGAAGGACGAGCCAACGATTCTGAACAAGTCAGACATTGAGACGGCTGCCATTGATGTTTAGGCGAACATTGTATCGCAGCCTGATCGTTTGAATGATTTTAATGATTAACATGATGATATGCAGAAATAATGTGCATAGCTGGTCGCATGGATCTTGCATTTTTTATAGGAATTTCGTAGCGGATATCAACGAGAATGTAAGGATTTGTAAAAATTCATTAAGGAATTTGCAGTCGCCATTGTATAATTCTTAAAGCATTATTATCGTAGCGACTAAGCGTTTTTTACTCGGTTATTTAGCTTTAGCTTCCGTTCTTTTTAAAAATTATTTTTTACGAGTAAGTTCATCATTTGCAAAATGATTTGAATATTTTGTTTTTGTTGGCGCTCTATTGGAATTCAACTGTCACATTATCAGTTAAATTTGCATTGGAGCAATAGATTAAAATGCTTATATCCAGTATCTTTACTGAAATTTTGGTGTTGAAATCATTTTCAGAGTGTAATTTTTTTTCTAAGAGCAGATTTTTAATTTATAAAAGATGAACGATGGTCGTTGATAAAGTAATTATCAATTATCTAAGCTTATATAAAGTCCCTATCATGGTTATATAAATATTCAAATTATAAATATAATAAATCTATATTGGTTCAAATATTCAAATGACTGGGTAATGCTTTTTTTTCAAATCGTGAAGCTATTGTTGAAAATCTTTCAACTACATAAACTAGATTGTTTTCACTTAGTGTTGCCATCAAAACATCTATATATAAATCTATCAATCTGACTCTTGTGAATACATTGTTAATTTTACTTAATACATTTGATGTATGTACATTTGTTTTATTTTATTTATTTACATAATTTATACACCTCAATTTAAAAATTTATATTTCTATGCAATATTTATATCTAGTCATTGCGATATATATTTTATAATTTTAATATTTACTTTTATGTAATGTTAATAAATATTCCAAAATGTTTAAAAAATGTACAAAAATTAATTTATTTATAACTGCATTATAAAAAGCACGAAACCACAGTCAATTATACATCCAATAAGGTTCCTCTGGTCTTCTTTACATCTGTAATTGGAGGAGGCATTAACTTCCTTTTATTCATACCTTTCCTTTCCAATTGTTTTTCAATGATTCTAGCATTGTTGGCATAAGAGTCTGCAACTTCCCTCTGCAATTAAAATAGTATAACAGTAAATCTATATAAATATTTTCATTCAAATAAGGAAACTGATTGTAAGTATACATACTGCTTCTATTTCATCTTCTTCCTCGTCAATAGTAGAAACTGTAACAGAACTGAATTTTCCCATGTTTTTTGTGTGTTTAGTAACCATGACTTTCTTTGGTTTCTCAACATCTACTTGGTTATAGATATTGGTCATAGGACCTTCTCCAGAACTTTTTACAATGGAACCCTTGACAATAAACACAACATTTGGAGAGTTATCATGTTTGTAATAGAGCAGTAGACCACATCTTTAAAAATATTTTATAGTTAGGAAATTCAACAAAGGGCAAGATAAATGACAAGATCGATAGACATACTTTTTACATTTTTTTCTGTGTTGTTTCTCAATACCTTCAGGCCTCTTCAAGTAAGATACTTCATCCTGTTCACAAGTCATTTTGTGAGCATGTTTACTGCCATCAATAATTCTGGCACCATCTCTTTTGCGAAGTGGCAGTTTTTCTAATGCACAATCTGAAATACAATTGAAAGAACAAATGAATATTGTTGCACATTACTGAAGAAAATAAATAACAATTGTTAATAACAAAAATACCTAAAATGAGTGTCATTTGGCCACATAAACAATAATACGTGTGTAGTGGTTTTTCTTCGCTATATTCTTCTTGATCCTTAGTATCAGAACACACTATACTTCTTGAAACTACTTTTGGCATTTTCAAAACTATTTATTTGAAGATCAAAGTGTTTATGCAAATTGCTGATTGACGCTTTCAGTCAAAACAAGCTGCACTTTTAGGTTAGTTTCGTATGTTGACGTAGTTTAGTTGTGTATATGTACAGTGTTCTGAAAGACAGATATCCGTAGTTCAACCGCAACACTCGCACACAAATATAAGTACAAGTTGTTTAATTGAAAAACACTTTTAAATACTATTTATATGCATCAAACAATTTAGTTCACAAGCCAAGTGTGAGATTGCATTTATAGCAGTAGTACTCCAAAAACTAAGTGTCGTAAGTCATGAGCATGGAGACATAGGAGACTTTATCTCCATGGTTATGAACAGAGCAAGAAAGGAAAGAGAAGAGAGAGAGAGAGAGAGAGAGAGAGAAAACGAATATTACCTGTATAGGTGTACACAGTGTACATGCAACGATGCCTCACCCTCAGATGCACTATTTACATGTGTGTATAGGTTTGAGGCTCCGTGCAGCGTTGGGAGCCATTTTAATCCTGTAATTTTTGTTTATAATAATTATAACCAACGCGACAAATAACTTATGTTTATCTCCAGATTGTATTTAGTATTGTAAAATTACTACAAGTGCAATATCCTATGAAATAAGTAGTCGATAATTTGAAAAAATCATTCAATTATCAAGATATACTATGTATGTGTGATCATAACCATAATTAAATCGTAAATGCTATACTAGCAAATAAATAGACATGTTCATAACTATGATAATTGGCTGTTAATGATGAATCTACAATTGCTTCCAATGAACAGTGATGATGGAAATCACCATAGTTAAGACTCGCAAGGAAATAGAAAATGTTGACGTTGACCACGTTGACATGTTTGCGTGAGTGTATGGTCCACTTGTTGGTGGCTATTCAGATTATTTAAAGCGTTGTAAATTGATTCTGATCTGAAGTCTCCAACGAGTTGCAGATCGAATTCACGAGATGAAAGCAAGTAAAGCTGTGATAGTGTGGTAGTAACCGGCTGGGTTGGAGAAAAAAAAGCAAAGCGTTGAACTTGATCAAATATCACACCATTACGCTCACTTAAAGATCAATGGAGAACTTATTGTTACATGCAGCATCCGTCGAAATTGCAACATGCTCTATATGGTTGTGGACCACAGCGTTGCAAATTCGTTGGTTTGTCATTCATCATTTCTCTCTCTCTCCCTCTCTCTCTCTCTCTATCTCTCTATCTCGCTCTCTCTCTCACTCTCTCTGTCTTTCCAATTGGTTTCAATGAAATTTAATTTAGTTTATCACTTTTGCAGTGGTGTACGTTGCGTGAATGGTTTTAAACTATTAGCATGCCAAATTTGTCGATGTCTGCGTGTAATTGTCTGTTAGTCACAAGTTTTCGTCAAGTAAGCAAAGAACAAGCATATACCTTGCCTGTAAAATTATTCATGCTTTTACGGAATATCGTATACGAGATATCATTGTCTATCCCGTCAATTTCGTGGCAAAATGGCAGCTGTTTTGACCGCCGAGCAAGAGCAAGTAAGTTTAGCGTTGACAGTTTCTTGTGAGATAAAAGTATTTGGACAGCATTTTTAACTTTGTTGTACTTGCTAATCAATATTATCTTATAAAATAGTCAATTGAGATATTAGAATGATAAATTGATTCTCTATATTCAGTTGTGCTGTAAGATTGCATTGAAATAGTTCAATGAGTGGCAGCATTTATATTTTGAAATATTTTTAGATCTGATAACAAATGCATTATAAGAGTAATTATGTAAAAACAAATGATCTCAGCTATGGCAACATAATTAAAATATTTTATAAAAATAAATTATTGTGTTTACACAAAATTATAGGCAACAAAAGAGTTTATCGAGGTGGTCAACAAGTATAGAGCAGGTCGCTGCGTAGGCCCAATCTCATGGAATGCAGCTCTAAAATTTCTAACGGCAAGGAAGTTTGAAGTTACCAGAGCTCTAGCACTTTATGAGCAACATGAAGCTACTAGACGAAGGGAAGGTCTAGCACTAATGCAACCAACACAGGAGCCACTGCTAAGCGAACTACGCACAGGCAAATTCACTGTTTTGGTGAGTGGAATCCTTCAAGTGTGCATTGAATAAAAAAACAAAAGAAAGTAATTACATCTAATTAAGAACAACAACTTAAACGCAATTTCAGCCAACTCGGGATTCAACCGGAGCTGCAATAGCCATATTCACGGCTCACCTGCACCTCCCGCAATACACGACTCATCAGACAACGTTGCAGGTAAACAGTGACTATAAACAAAATAAAAGAAAAGGAAATAGAGGCAAGTGCGCAACGAGAGAAAAAGTCATTAATGAGTGAATAAACACTACGTTGAAAACAGGGAGTGGTTTACCAACTGGACGCCGCATTGGAAAGCAAGGAAACTCAGAAGCATGGCCTAGTGTTCATCTACGACATGTCGGACAGCAAGTACCAGAATTTCGACTATGATCTGTCGCAAAAAATCCTGACCCTATTAAAGGTGAGTGCTCAACTGACGTAACGGTCGGCCGCTTGCAGGTATGACCTGTATGGGCGCGAGGCTAGCGCAGCGAGTTGCACGTGCGCGCATGTGCAACGGCTGCGCTCAGCTGTGCGAGGCGAATATAGAGCAGCTCGGTGGTGCGGCCTGGCCCGACGAGTGACGGCGGCGGCGGCGCAGTCGGGCGCCGTCGCGGTGCGCATCGGTGGCGATTGATCGTCCTGGCCAATCGTCGCGGACTGGCGCTGCTCCCCCTCGCCTAATCTCCGTGCGGCTCGGCACAGAGATATCGATCGGGGCCGCCGCCGTCAACTTGCGAGTCCTGCCGAGGCCGAACGCGGACAGCATAGCGGCGCGCGCGAGCCAGTGAGCAGCTGCAAAGCGAGCGCGCCCGACAAGACGGTGTCCGCAGTAGTGGCCGTCGACGCGCAGTTCGCTCCCGCATCCTTGACTGGCGCTAGGTGCGCGCGCCCGCAACGCCCGCAACGCCCGCGACGTCCGACACAGATTCACCTGACCAGTGCGCGCGTGTCTGTCGACAGGGCGGCTACCCGGCCAAGCTGAAGAAGGTGCTGATAGTGACGGCGCCGCTGTGGTTCAAGGCCCCCTTCAAGATCCTGCGGCTGTTCGTGCGCGAGAAGCTGCGCGAACGCGTGTTTACCGTGTCGATCCCGCAGCTGACGCAGCACATCCCGCGGGACTCGCTGCCGCAGCGCTTGGGGGGCGGCTTGGAGGTGCAGCATGAGGCCTGGCTGCTGCACTGCCTCAAGTCCATGACAAACCGAAGCGGGGCCGCGGAGCTCTGCGAGGTCGCCGCGCCCGCGGCGGCGCAGCTGCTGCACGGCCTGCAGGCCGCCGCTGGCCCCGGCGAGAGCGCGCCGCCCGCGGCACTGGCCAACGGTCGTTGCGAGGCCGCCGCCGGCTCGAGCGCCGGCAGCCCCGTCAGCCCGCTGCCAGAGGTGGCCGCCGGCGCACAGCAGCCACAGCCACAGCCACAGCCACAGCCACAGCGCAGGCCTGCAGAGACCGAGTTGCCGAGCGGCGTCGAGGAGGCAGCCTCGCCGCTGCAGCCGCCCTCCTCCGCCAGCTCGGGCTTCAGTGACGACGACAGCCTGCACGGCGACTTGGGGCTGCAGGCCGTCGGCATCGAGCAGCTCATTGAGGCGATCCACGCCAGGGGCCGCGCGGGACTCGTGGCCGAGTACATGGAGATCAAGCAGAGGCCGCCGGACGGCACCTTCACCAACGCCAAGTACGCTGGACCGCGCCGCCGCTCTCGGGTCCGCGCTCACCGTCTACTTTCTTGCTCGACTTGCAGGCTCAAAACCAACCTGCCGAAGAACCGTTACACGGACGTACTCTGCTACGACCACAGCCGGGTCTGCCTGTCGCAGCTGGACAGCGAGGCCACGTCCGACTACATAAACGCCAACTTCGTCGACGGCTACAAGCAGAAGAACGCCTTCATCAGCACGCAGGGTCCGCTGCCCAAGACGTGCGCCGACTTTTGGAGGATGGTCTGGGAGCAGCAAACCCTCGTCATCGTCATGACTACCAGGTACGTAGCCCGCGCCGGCGAGTTCTAGCTCGGACTCCCTAATCCTACCTTCTGCTTCTGATCGTCGCAGGGTCGTGGAGCGAGGACGCACCAAATGCGCACAGTATTGGGCCGCCGAGCCCGGTGATCACGTTACCTCGGGTAATTTTACCGTAACTAGTCTTGAGGTCGACACTCATCCCGACTACACGATAACCAAACTTCTGTTAACCAATAATAAGGTGAGACAAGCATGAGGCATGCATCCGTCGTTTGCACCAATCAATAATCGATATCAATTGCAGACTGAAGAAACTAGGGAAGTTTGTCACATGTTGTACACTGGTTGGCCGGATTACGGCGTACCTCAGTCGGCCAGAGCCTTGCTGCAATTCCTCTCTCTGGTGCGCCAACAACAAAATACATTGTTGACCAACAGTGGCGATACTTGGGCTGGTCACCCAAGAGGCCCGCCTATTGTCGTGCATTGCAGTGCTGGCATAGGAAGGACAGGTGAGCACTGAGGACGTTCCCTTATACCCAAGACGCCTTCAGTTTCAAGTGCGTTCTTCTCTTACTTCAGGTACCTTCTGCACTCTCGACATTTGCATATCACGGCTCGAAGATACTGGCACCGTTGACATTCGAGGAACAGTTGAAAGAATACGAGCCCAGAGAGCCTTTAGTATCCAGATGCCAGATCAGTATGTATTTTGCCACCGAGCTTTAGCAGAGTATGCTCTCTCTCGCGGAATGCTCAGTCCTCAGCACCTTGCCATGTTACCCCCAACCATCGAGGAAGATTCCGATTGAAATGGCTAGTTTGTTTATTTAGAGCTTAATCGCTGACCGTATTGTAGTCTACCTACCCTTTGCACAAGTATGTCTTGCTAAATATTTACTTTTAGTTGACAGGAGTGTTTATCCTGTTTTGCACTATTTACGATTAGCTCAAATATTTTACGTTTATACAAATGTACGTACCTACGTTTTATTTTTAAAAGTGTACCCCCACTTTATTTTACTTAATCTCATGAAACAGCTAGTGTTTTTTAATTTGTTCAATTTTCATTTTGTACAAATACCAAATAGTTTGATCAATTTTAAACAGATAATAGAAGGTACGGATATTTGTTTCTTTTAAATAATGCTTAACCGAGAATCTCATTTGGCGAACTTTTTCTAATTAATTTTAAAACGTTTCTCGTGATTCTAAAGTTGCTTAATCTTTGTTTAATAGAACGATCAACAATCAATTTTTTTAAAACATTGTCTTAAAGTCGTCGATGAGTAATTAATGAACACTTTGCATAAGCGACCAAAGATTATTCTAAACCATTTTCGGTATTCGAAATTTCTGCGCCATTTTTTGAATTTGAGTGATCCTTTACGTAAAAATGGTATTTTGATATAAACATTTTAGATATTTAGGAAAAAATAAATTGAGATGTAAAGAAAAATTGAATGCAAAATCGTTTTGTAAAAAGATATTTCACTCGTATGCTAAAACTTTTGACGATATCTAGAAAACTTTTTCATAGACTTTGTGATAATGATCAATGGTCATGTTCTTCCAAACTAATTGATTTTCTGTGTTTTATAACAATATTTAACTTTCTAATCTGATGTTCAAATACTCTTATAATCATTTGGACGAATCTTAATATTAAATATCGGAATTCTGATTGAAATCTCAATCGATAAAAGTAAGGTTGCAGATATATATATATATCGCGCACATACAATTGAATTGGTTTATCTGCTCAAGGAAAATTTTCTACGTTGATAATAACTTTTCAATATAATTGTATTGATAATTTAGGGTTTCTATTTGTATGTGTATGGACGTGTGTGTGTGTAGACGTGGACCTGACTATTGAGTATTTATCTCACGCTAAATCATTAAATTATTAATCAATTCATTATCCAGCCTTAGTATTCACATTATTTCATTGGCGTGATGCCCGAAGCTATTATTTCCGCATTGAAATACTGTTGGAGTCGAGATGAAGAATAATAAATTTTATTGTTTTTCTAAATGTGTTTATAAGTCAAATGTTGATCAACAACTTTTGATTTCCTTGCTGATTATCATTACACAATTGGAACAATATTTCTGGTTGAGTCAAGATAGTTAAATTGAAAGTAGTAAATTTTTTGTACCAAACGTTTTGATAACAAATATATTTAGTGTTAAGATTTGCGTTGAAAACAGAGTATTCGATTGTAGTGTTTTATAACAATTTTTAAAATTGATAATTTTCATTCGTTTAATAATTAGCTTTATAACAGTATTATACTTTCTTTAAATCAAGAATCGCTAATTTAATGATTTTAGCTTTGAAATCTGAACATATGATCAATTATGCATCAGCTAAACCTACTATAACAGTGTACATTTATATATGGTTGATAAAAATTTGTCGCTATCGTATTCAATATTTTACGCATACAATATGTCCATGGCAAGGTCCATTTCCAAGAATTCAATGTTCTTATGGCGGTGTATAAAAATTTATAAGAGTCATCAATCGTGTAAGAATACGCATGCAGGTCTAAAAATTTGTCGAAGAGAAAATATTGAAAAGTATATCAAGTGTCAATTAGGCAGGCAATTTTTCGAATTAATCAAAGCAAGTATACTTGTATCGTATACTCGACTCGAAACTCCGATCCAATTTGACTTATCAATGACGTATTAATCGAGAAGAGTTGAAATCTATAAAGAATGATTTAAGAACCTTGTTGGAAAGCATACGATATTTCAGGAATGTGGTAAAGATTTGAGGTGCCTTTCTCTAAGCAGCGAATCTACAAATTGTTGATTGAGCCGTCAGATGAATGTACTTTTATAACAAAATAATAAATGTCGCTGCTCTTTTCCTGATAGACGTACTAATCTCAAAGTTCCTGAATGATGCGTACCAAGATATATTGCTGATCTTACGTACACGGCATAATATGATTTGACACTTCTCCAAGCGTATCTATTACCGTTCTAATTGCCAAATTTATTCATCAATTACTGCGCGAGTAAGGCACCACACTTACAATTATTGTTTCCAGATGATAATGTAAACGAAAAACGAATATATAAATATATACATAAAGTGGAGTAAATCAATTATCTCTCCGAAACAGGCTTCATATGCATCAAGTGCATATAATGTATTGTTAATGTTATTCGCCTAAAGTCTGACAACTTGAATATAAAGAATTATGTAAAACGTGCGAACATCTACGAATGTACACTCGGCAAACGGGTTGTATATGCGCAAATTTTGAGCGCGTGTATAAAAGAAAATCTTGTATTTAAAATATGAAAAATTAGTGTATGGAACGCGGGCGGAAATTGAGAATGTATATAATTTAAGACGAAACCATTCTAATGTATTTAGTCCAGTTAATAATGATTATTTAATATAATACAATCACTGGAAAATTGATGATATTCATTTTCTAAGCCCTCTCACTCACCTTATCACATAGAATTCGATGATTTGCATCCTTTGGTTTTAAATGATAACTGTTAATTATATTTAAAAATACGAAAATGATTTTTTTATTGCGATAACTGATCTGTATATATTTTTTAAAATAAATAACGACAAACAATGATCCGTTACTCTTGAATACGAATAGTCATCTTATGAAATACATTTCCTGTATAATTGTATGTATGCAGTCATGACTACTTTACCGTTATCAAGGAACTTGAAAAAATATCTTGATACATTTGTTAAAGAGTCGTACTATCTGCTACAGCAGAATCTCTCCAAGATACGAAAACTCGCGTTCGTCGCACGAGATAATTATTTACAAATTAGAGAGCGACACGTCATATGAGTATGGATGCATAACTGATACAACATTTAAAAAAAAACAATAACAGTAACAGTAAAATACATAGTGTATAGATGTAATTTACACGTGTTCAACAGCCTGCCGTAGAGATAAATTTACTTTATCAGTGTTGCAGATAGCAGTAGTTGGCTTAGGTAACGCATATGTACATGAAACTCGAAATTCAACTACACAAGTTTGTAACTACAAATGTTGACGTGTTCGAACGAGAAGGCGTCCGACGTAGCAAAGCGGTCGGCGCCGATCACGCGTATAGGTAGGCCGAGAAGAACGGTGGTCGACAAGGGAAAGTTCCAGGGGATGGGATGCCTGTGTAGCGCTCGAGGCATATCGATATATCACAATGAATTGTGCAAACTTTGCACTGGCGCGTTGATTGATCGTCGAGGAACGGATGGGCGAGAGGCGGCGATCAAGTAGAGTCGATACACCCACCGGCGAGCTTACTGGCGTATAGATTCAATCCCTGTGGGGGAGAAGAGAGCAATTAGCAATTAGCAATTAGCAACCAGCAATGAGCAACGACGAGGACGGACGAACCTTGTATATAAAGAGGTACTGCTCCCTGGTTTGCACGGCTCCGGCTCGATCCCTGCGAACGGTATAAACGACTCTGGGCAGGTCGATGGTGCGCGTCACCTCGTACTGTCGTATGCAGAGGTCGAGCGCGATGAGGGTGCCGGTGCGCCCGGTGCCTGGGCTACAGTGCACCACGATTGGCCCGGTAGCGCCTCGTTGGAGAGCCCGCGCTTCCAGCAGAACGGCGATCAGCCCGGCCGCGTCCGTCGGTACTCCGCTCGCCGGCCACAAGTACCAAATGTGCGAGACCTCGCGGAACGTGTTGTTCTCCAAGTTCTGAAAGTCGACGAAGCGCGAATGCCCGAAGTGAGCCGGCCTTGGCCTTGTCTTCGCGACGCGCTCGATCGGCCGAGCAAGGTGAGTCGGACACTACCTTCAGGTGCAGCGTCGAGATGGCGTACTTTTCTTTGGCTTCGCGCTTCTTCAGCGTCACCTGGTAGTCCCCGTAGAGCCGGTGGCAGTCGCTGACTTCCAGCGGAGGAATGTACTCGGTGCACTTGTCGACTCCGTTCTCCACCAAGTGGGTCAGCATGATGATGACCTTGCACTGCTGCTCCCAGATCATGCGCCAAAAGTCGGCCACCGTCGCTTCGGTTGGCGCTTGGCAGGCGATGTAGTACTTGGTGGCGTTCTTCGGGCCCTGTCGCACCAGCGGACGCATCAGACTCGGTCGCCGTGCACTCATCGCGTTATCGCACCTACCCTCACGTAGCTCGCGTTGACGTACTCGCTAAGGGGATCGCCGTTGATCCTCTGCAAAGGCACTCGGGTCTCTGGCAGGGGTATCACGTTCGCGTATCGATTCTTGATCTCCGCCCCTGGCGGTAGCTCTTCTATCTTCGAGTGGATCTGCGGAATGTTCGCGAACTCCTCGGCCACGGCACTGGTGTCGTTGCAAAACGTCGCGATTCCGGCGAAGTTTAGCGGGTGCGTGGGTGTAACGCTCTGCGAGGACGATTCGGCTCGATTAGCGCGGCTCAGCTCGATCGTCGACGCTCAACTCACCGAGTCTTCGAAGGCCGGATTGCCGTAGCTGCGCTTGGAGGATCTCACCACGGACTTGCTGCGCCTGACGCTGTTGTAGGCCGAGACGCTGTCCAAGCTGTAGGCGTCCAGCGACACTGGCCGACAGCGCTCCCCGTAATTGAAGCGCCCTTGGCGTTTTCTCATGATGAACTTTTCAACAGAGTCAAGAAAACCAGTTGCACTCGCTCGATCGTCAAGTTGGTCGACTGCACCGCTATACTTACCAGCAGACCGGCCAACAGTATCAAGCAGACGAAGGCGACGCTTGACACAATAACTACGGCTATGGCGTTGCCCGAATCGGCCTCCGGCACCAGGGTCACGCTGTGGATCTGCGCGTATAAATAGCTTGCACATATATACACACGCACACCTAGTCAATGATCTCATTTGTAATGATTACCGTCAATGGAAAATCAATAGGCGACGATTCGTAGAGACTCGGCAAGAGCTTCGTGAGTTTTCCGTCGAAATTGCCATTCTCGTCGACGATGTAGACTAGTACGGGAGTCAGTTGCGTTTCCGCCACCAATGACGTGGGCGTCAAGCTTTCCGAGCACTGAGTCTGATGGAAGATAACTTGTCTCGTAGATATTGGCCTGCAATTCACGTTGATTAGTGACGGTATTCAGGTGATCGTTTTTAATTTAAAGTTCAATGCACGCGGCAAAGTGTTAAATCATGCTCTTCTTTATTTTGCTTTCACGAGCGAAACGAGTTATAGACGTCTTGGCAAGTCTTGGCAACAGGTGTCTATCACGAGAATCTGTTCTTGCGCAAGTCATCTAGAAACGTGCGAAAGAGAAGAGCTAGAGATCGCAGCAGCCGAGGGCTGCAGCAAGAAGAGAGTGGATACGAGAATTACTTGTCAACGTTGTTGTTGATTAGGTCGGTGAGCGACTGTCGCAGGATTGGTAGCTTCGAGCAGACCTCCTGCCAACTACCTTCGAGCATAATTCTGACGAGCACGGTGACGTCTTCGGACGTAGGCGTGGGAGAGAAGGGTTCGGTGGTGGGTTCAGAGGTTTCGTCCTGCCAGGTGGTGACGGCACTAAACGCCTCGGAAGCCATCGTAGTCGTTGCAACGTTCTTTGGGCTGACAACCGCCGTCGAAGGCTTGGGGGTTGTCGTTGTCGTTGTCGTTGTCGTTGTCGTTGTCGTTGTCGTTGTCGTTGTCGTTGTCGTTGTCGTCGTTGTCCTTGTCCTTGTCCTTGTCCTTGTCGTTGTGGTGGTGGTAGTAGTCTTGGCAGGGATGATCGCGGAAGAGGTCATGGTCGCGGCCGTGGTCGTGGTAAGAGCGACGGACGTCGTTGTCGTCGGCGGCGTCGTCAAGAGAGACCCTAAGGTCGAGGTCGTTGCGGTAGGTTCCGTAATGGTGATGGTTTCTGGCGGCAGAGTGACTCCCGGAGTGGTCGCCGTGGTCGAGTGCTCCTGTCTATGGAAATGGAAGAGAGCTATGAGTCGTTGAATCGACCGTGGGCTTAGCGAGAGAAGAGGAGTCGGGAACGCACTCGAGGGGGGGCGTAGTGGAGGGCTCCTCGCGAGCGCTGGTGGTCAGCGACTCGGTCACGAGGGTGGTCGGAACATCGGTCTCGGCGGCATTGGTAGCCTCGAACTGGACGGTCGAAGAGGCGAGCAGTGAGGCGGTGGACAGCTGCTGGAGCGCGGTCGACGTTGACTGACCGCTGAGCGGCGCAGAGCTCTCGGTGTCGACTTCCCCGACGGAGCTGATATCTGCCGAGAGACGGAAGCCAGTGAGTCCACGTTGGATGGTTGCCGTCGGCCAATACGCAGACGGGAAAGTTAACCTGCGAAGGGAGTGGTCGGCTCGGCGAGGCGCATAGTACTCGTAGCGGTGCTCCGGTCGTCGTCGCCGACGTCGTCGGAGACGGTGGTGACGAGGTCTTGCTCGTCGTGGAGGGTCGAGAGGGCGGCGGTGGCGGTGGCGGTGGCGGTGGCGGTGCTGCTGCTGCTGCTGCCGCTGACAGTGGTAGCCTCGGGCGCGCCTCTCGGCGCGAAGACGAGCTGCAGGCTGCCGTTAAGGGCGAGCGAGTCGCCCGAGCGTTTCCCCTGGCGGATCGCTGCGTCACCGTCCTCCTTGTCCGCGGCGGCGGACTTCTTCCGGAGGTAGGGATAGGGCTTGTCCAGGTGGTCTGTCTGCGCGGAAAGCTCCTTCTTAGCGCCGTGCTTCTTGAGCAGCTCGGCGGCACCCTGCTCGGCCTCGGGTATGGCGTTGCTCGTGCGCTCGCTGGTCGGCGCCGCGTCGGTGCCCACCTCCGCGACGGTACTCGTCGGCGGAGTCGTTGCCGAACCGTCCGTCGTGCCGGACGCCGCCGCCTCAGCCGGGACCCGCTGCGTGGTCAGCGAACAGCGCGCCGGTCCCGCCAGCAGCAGCGCCGAGCAGACGCCTGAAAAGCACAGAGAGCGAACGCCCCGGTCAGTCGGTTGGTCGGCGGCGGCTGGGCCAACGCCGGGGATAGTTACACAGCCAGGCGAGCGGCAGGCGGCGGCGGCGACGGCACGGCTGCTGACCGCGTACTCGGTGCGCTGCCATGATCTGCAACGAAACGACGGGCGTGTGTAGGTAGGTGCTGGCCGAGCGAGCGAACGGGCACGCGCAGCGTTCGGATCGGCCGAGCGGGGACGCGGCAAATCGCTCGATCCAATCTTGGCCTCGGCGATTTGCCGGCCGATAAGATTAAGCGGGACGCGCAACTGGATCGTGCCGGTGCGGATGCGCGCGGGCATTTAGGTTCGGGTGCTGGCGCGCCGCGGCGGCGCGCGCTTCGCCGCTCGCCATCGAGCGGAATAATATTAGAAAGCTGGTTGGAACGGCTGAGTCATTCGGCGGCGGTCGTGGAGCGATAAGTACGCTTCCCAATGCAACGCGCAATCGTGCGGCTTGCATCGGTGTCTCTCGGTGCGGCGCGCAATAGTCGTCGCGGAAGTCGCTGATTGGCGACCCTGGCCAAGTAGTTTACGCAAGCGAAGCCACTCGGCGGCTCGCTTCACTTATGCAAACAGTAGTCCCTTTAAATCGCCCACCGGCTCTCCGTAAGCTACTTTTTGCGCTCGCGGCTTCGACGCACCGAGCGCCAGTGCGCCTTATCAAGCTCCGCTTCGTTTTTTTCCTTTTGTCGAACGTTACGTGCGGCCGAGTTCTGACAAGTGCCAGGCGCGCGCCGCAGCACTTTTGTTTTTCGTCGGAACGTCGTATTTTCTGGCCGGAATATAGAGTCGATGACGAGCCGCGACGGCACACGAGCTTCTCTGCTTTGTGTGTACGCGCGCGCGCGCGCGCGATTATCGCCTTTATTCTATTACGTTGACAATGGAATCGAGAATCGTTCAATTACAAAATGACGCTGCTTTTTCTTTCGCACGCAATTATTCAGAATAGCTGCGACGCCGTTGCGATTCCTCGTTCTTTGGATTTTTTTTCCGAAGCGCGTATAATTTCGCGAGTCATTGAATAGAGATGTTCATTCAAACGAGAGCAGTCCGTGGATCGGATCGAGCGCGGAAACGAATTTGAAAAAAACAGTCTATATAAGTAGGCTCGCCAAGGAGAGAAGTGTAACGAACGGCCAATGGAAAGGCAAAGAGCGTGCGTACGGGCGGCGATTTTTGACGGCAAGGTGAAACTCACGGTGAAACTTACTGCTGAGAAGGACAAAGGAAGAAGCGAGCGTACGCTTGCTGGTTATCCTTGCGAGGTGGCCGAGGGCGTCGCAGGCAGAGGCAGCGGTAACGGCGGCAACGGGCATGATGTCCTCGGACGAATAGCGAGTGGCGAAGGCATCTGGACCGATCAGCACAAAGGAGGCGTGCTCGCGCGAGCGCCAAGACGGCCGGAGAGTAGCTCTAGAGACAGCGACGGCTACGGGCGAGTGGGCAGCCGATCAGCAGCAGACTGCACGTACGCGCGCCGCTACCATGACGACACTGCGCGACGACGATCGTGAAAACACGAGCGACGGGGAGAGAGAGAGAGTCGCGCGATGGCGGCTCCACGAGCGCAACACCTGTGGGTGTGTGCGAGCCAGTGCGCGCGCGCGCGCGCGCCAGTGGCCACCTCTCGCAGGTCAAAGTCGGACCGGACGAGCAGCAATAACAACAGTAACAGTAGTACCAGCAGTAGCAGCAGCAGCAGCAGCAGTAGAAGCAGCAGCAGCAGCAGCAGCAGCAGCAGCAGTCCAAGTAGTCGCCGTCGTTACGCACACGAGACGAGCGAGCACACTGACGCGCGTGGAAGAATATGCATGCGTCACGCGGTGTAAGCGAGAGCTGGCGGAGCGAGAACAGGTACTGTGGCCGCCGATAACGAGCGGCTGCGCTGGAAAGTCGGTGCTGCCTCCTGTCGACTCGCCTCGCTTTCTACTGTACTTCGCTGCGCTTACCTCCTACTCTCTGACGCTCGCCAGCGGCGCCTCCACCTTGCCCGCGACTTCGCTTCGAAAGCTTCGACACGGCTTCTTTCTTCTCGGCGGGCCGCTAGCCGTGTACGCCCCCCGCCGCCGCCGCCGCCGCCGTCGAACTCGCGCCGCGCTATCGTCGGCTCGTGTGTCGAGCACTATGCTGGAACTCTCCAGAGAACCGCGAGTATCGCTGCGCCGATTGCAAACCTCAGGGGCGTTTCCAATTTTAATCGAACGCCGCTCTTTTTTCTTTTCACTCTCTTTTTATTAAAAACGTTGTTCGTCTGACAAATGTGCTTCCTTTCTTGACGCATCGATGCAATGCGCTTGACAATCCAGCGTGGCGTCGCGCGTCCGCTCGCTCCGCCGGCAGCGAGCGCGCCGAAGTAGCTTCGCCGGAGCGTCCGTCGTCTGCGATCGTCGGCTCCCCGTGCGAACAAGCGGCGACTGCGGGACGCGGGGAGGACGGGCGGCGGCCGAAAGGGACAGGCGCGTCGAGTCAAGAGTAGAAGGTCAAGACCGAGGTGTGGTTGCCCCGGACGAGCAGGAAGGGCGGCATGTCCCGCGTGAGGGTCTCCAGCCAGGCCATGTACAGCGGCGCCGAGACGGCGTTCTTGCGCGGCATCGGCAGGGTCCTGCAAGCAGAGCTCGGACGTCGTGGGCGAGCGCGCTCGAGGAGGCGGCAATCAGCGGCCGGCGACCGACGACGACGGGAACTCACATGACCACCAGGTTGGCGTCCATCGAGTGCTCCTGCAGCAGCTCGCGCAGGCGCAGGTGCCGATTGGTCTTCTGCTTCATGGCCAGGCGCTCCGATTCCTTGATGACGCTCGCTGCAACGAGGACCGAGCTCGGGATGAGGCGCGCGGAGGTCGCGCGGAGGTCGCGCGGAGGTCGCGCGGAGGCTCGCGGGCACCTACCTTCGTCGGCGCCGGGCTGGCCCTCCTGCAGGAAGTCCGCGATCAGCGACTCGAAGAAGCTGACGCTGCCGCTCTGGGCTGGCTTGGAGATGCCCGAGATGACCTTCAGGGCCGAGTAGTCTATGCGGAATTTGGACAGCAGGCTGGCCATGCTGCGAACAGGAGGCGGGCGGCGCGCGAGGCGCGTGAGGCGCGCGAGGCGGAGGCTCGAGTCCCGGGCGCTCGCGCCCTGACTGTACCTACTTTCGCTGCTCGTACTCCAGCTCCGACTGCCTGTTGGCCAGAGCGAACACCCGCAGCTTGCAGCTGGCCCAGTTCCTGCGGGTGCTGACGATGTAGGGCAGCAGCAGGGTCAGGCCGCCGTCGTCGTACAGCCACCAGACGTCGATGGTGCCCTTGCGCTGCTTCCTGTGGAAGCGGCTCGAGCTGAGCAGGAGGTCGCCGGCCGAGGCCGTCACGCTCGGCGCCTCGGGCTTGTCGGCGTCGGGCTGCGCGGCCCTCGGCGAGCGCCTCGGCGTTGGGCTGCCCGGCATCGAGACGTCGGACGCGCTGCTGGCTGCGTGGACGAGAAACGAGACGCCGATCAGTGCCGGCACGCCGGACGAAGCTCGCTCGCCGCGCGGCGCAGCCGAAAATCGATAGCGAGGCTCGCGGGGCTCGCTGCCCGACCGTTCGACCGCCGCGCCGGTGAGGACGAGGGGGTCGGCACCCCCCGCGCTAACCTTGGCTCAGCTGCGAGAAGCTCTGGTTCTTGGGGATCTTGAGCGGCCTCTTGGCGTCCTGCTGCTCAGCGTTGTCGTAGTCGAGGCCGCCGTCGACCCGCAGGATGGCCACGGCGATGTGCATGTCCAGCGCTTTACTGCAACACGGACACCGCCGAGTCAGGTTGGCCGAGCCCCGAGCCCCGAGCCCCGAGCCCCGAGCCCCGAGCCCCGAGCCCCGCTACTCACTGCATCACGTTGAAGTACTCGACGAGGCTGCGCCGCGGGCAAACCAGCCAGTCGCTCTTGTAGCCCATGAGCAGCACGTTGGGGCGCAGCTTGCCGAGACCGCAGGCCTGCATGAGCGAGGTGGCGCCATCCTGGAAGGTGGCGCCGTCCAGCAGCGAGTAGAAGGCCTTTAGCTTATTGGCGCGGAACCAGGCGCTCGTCTTGGCCACCATCAGGCCCCTGGTCTTGTGCGTCAGCGGCGTCTGCCGAGCGAGCGTGCGCGCGGCGGTTAGGCGTCGTCGGCTCTGGCGAGCGCGCGCCGCTCCCGACTCACCTCGACCACGTGGCCGCAGACCAGCAGGCTCTGGTTCTTGGTGAGCTGGTGGGCGAAGTCGAGCAGCGTCGACCTGGAGCTGGGCTTGCCGGTCAGCGCCAGAATCTGCGGCCGGTAGTTCTTCACGTGGTCCTCCACGCGGTCGAGCTGCTGCACCGAGGTCAGCGCCGAGTTGTAGGTCTGGGCCTGCGTGGTCGAGCCCCAGTTGACGTCTGCAAGCACAGCGGCCGGTGAGGCGGGCGCTCGGCGTCGCGCCCGGCGTCGCGCCACTCACCGGGTTTCCTGTAGCAGACTATCAGGTAGAGCGCCAGCACGCAGCACAGCGTGATCAGCGCGGTCCACCACGAGATGAGGAACATGACGGCCACGCAGAGCACCGAGCCGGCCAGGCTCAGCCACATGTTGTAGTACTGCAAGCAGCGCGAGCGCGCGATCAGCGTCGACGGGCGCGGCCGAAGTCGCGGGAGCGGGCCTCACCTTGAACGTGGGTCGCCAGCCGATCGGTCTCGTGAAGGACGCGTGGAAGGTGCTGAAGTTGACGAGCGTGTAGGCCGCCAGGAAGAAGTTGGATATGAGGGGCGCGATGGCGTTCAGCTCCCCTGCGGAAGACAACAGAACGACCGTGGGATTGGTGCGGGACTCGCGCGGGCCGACTGCGCCGGAACGCCGCTGCTGACCGATGAGGATGAAGGCCAGGGCGATGAGGAAGGTGAGCACGTAGCCCCTGACGGGCTCCTTGCCCTCCTGGCCGCTGAACCAGTGGATGCCCGGATACAGCTGGTCCCTGCACAGAGCCTGGAAGACCTTGGGCGCCGACACGAGAGAGGCCAGTGCGCTGGACAGCGTGGCCGCGAAGCAGCCCGCGTAGATGATGGGCCCGAAGCCGGACACCAGCTCGATCACCTGCGGACAGGGTTGGTGGGCAAGATCAGGGGCGGCGGCGATGTGCGGACAAGACGGCGGCTACCTCGCGCTCATCGCACCTGGAAGCTGTTCTGGCTGCCGTACGGGCAGGCCTTGAGGCTGCAGTTGAAGTCGGTGGCGTACGTGGTCCAGTCGCGGTTGAAATTCTCGGAGAAGCTGGCCAGCGTGGCGCGGTCGAAGGAGCTGCGGATGGACCGGTTGAAGACCTGCAGCAGATCGAAGGTGTCGCCGGTGGCGTCGCGCACCACCGTCGCGCCCACCATCAGCGCTATCAGCAGGTACGAGGCCGTCGTGATGAGGATCGCCAGCAGGGTGCCCTTCGGGATGGCCGTCTGCGGGTCCTGTCGGCAGAGCCAGCAGTCGCGAGGTCAGTCGCGCGCGTCCGAGCCAGCCGCGTCGCGGCCGCGCTTGCCTTCAGGTCGCCGGATATGTTGGCGCCGGCCAGGATCCCCGTGGCGGCCGGGAAGAAGATGGAGAACACGGAGAAGAAGTTGTGCGAGGTGCCGTCGAAGGCGCGGTAGTCCGGGTACAGGTTCTCTCGGAAAACTTGGACTGCGACGCAAACAACAAAGCGGCAGAGAGGGAGAATGAGAAAAGCGGGTCAATTGTCGATTAGACGAGTGCAATTACAGCTGTATCCGATGAAACCCTTGGCCTTCTCCTGGTCGCTCTTCGGCCCAATGAACGTGCCGACGATGAAGTCAGCGATAGCCACCAGCAGGATGACTAAGAGGCCGAGCTGCGCCTTGGCCTCCCATTCCATGCCCACCATCACGATGAGCAGCAGCACGAAGACGGTGATCACGCCTGTGAGTCGACGACACAGAGTGCTGGTGGCTAAGCGCGGGGCGGGCGCGGGGCGGGTGCGGGGCGGGTGCGGGGCGGGCGCGGGGCGGCACGGGGCGGGGAGCGTTACCGATGAGGCGCGTGTCGCTGCTGGCGCAGTCGAAGATGCACAGCTCGTGGGCCTTCAGGCAGGAGAGCACGCTTTCGCAGAAGCCCACCACGTACATGGCGCAGGCCACGGCGTTGGCCAGCGAGAAGATCAGGCCGATCGAGCCGCCGAACTCCGGGCCCAGCGAGCGCGAGATCATGTAGTAGGTGCCGCCGCCCTTGATCAGGCCGTTGGTGCTGATGGCCGACATGGACAGCGCCGTGATGGTGGTGACCACGGTGGTCGTCAGGATCAGCAGCACCGCCTGGCCTGCAACGCGAGGGCGTGAGCGCGGGCGGGCGGGCGGGCCGCGGCTGCTCACCGACGCCGGCCTCGGCGACCACCCAGGACAGCCGCAGGAACAGCATGACGCCCCAGATGTTGAGCAGGCAGCGCACCAGCACGCCCTGCACCCAGCCGAACTTGACGCCCGCCGGGCGGGTCGCGCGCGCCGCTTGCGCGGCCTGCGCCGCGCCACCCGAGCATCTCTGCGGGCAGGGAGGGCCGTGAGAGGCGGCGGGCCGCGGGGCGGGGGGCTTGCGGCTTGGCTCACCTTGGGCTCGCGCGGCAGCGACGGCTCGTGCAGCTCGTCGAGCGAGGGCCGGCGCGCCGCCTGGATACTGAGCAGGTCGCGGTAGTTGTCCAGCCGCGGCAGCGCCTCGCGCGTCAAGTTGCGCAGCGACTTGCGGCTGGCCTCCTCGCCCAGCAGGCTGGCGCGGCCCTCCAGGCTGTCCACCCGGTTCACGTGGAAGCGCGTGCGCCGCGCCGCCGACATGGGCCGCAGCTCCACCCCCTCGAACTCGGCCTGCTGCTGCTGCTGCTGCTGCTGCTGCTGCTGCGCCATCGCCGCGCCGACCGACCTGCCGGAGCCGCGCTCCGAGACTGCGCTCGCGAGCGCGCGCCGATGGGCGTGGGTGGCTGCAATTAAGCCGTTAGCCGAGGCTGCTGATAATTACCGATCGCCGCGGGACCGAGCGCTGCTCCGCTGCGCTCCTCTCTGCGGCGCCAATGCAGCCGCCGCTCCGAAAATCGATGCCCGCGGACGAGCGCAGGACAGGACCACGTGGCTGGCGCGTCGGGCCTCTCGCCGCCCGAATCGACTTTCCTCGTGCAGCTCGCCCGGCTCGCCTCGCGCCTGCCGACTGGCTCCGATTCGGAGCCTCGCTCGCAGCTGCCAACGGTCCGCCGGCGGCTCCGCTGCTGCTGCTCGCTCCACTACTTGTGGCTCCTGAAGCGCGCGCGCACGTGCTCCACAACTTCTCTCCCCCCTCGCCCGTCGCTCCTTTCTTTCTCTCTTTCTTTCTCGCTCCCCTCTGCACGGCTCGCTCTTCTCGCTCCTTTTTATGTGCCAAGTGCGCTTCTCATTAGGCGCCGCTTAATTCGTCTTTAAACAAGCCTATCGTCGCTCGCTTATCATTCCTCGCCTCTGGCGCCTCGGCTCTCGAGTCGCCGTAACCGCCGTCACGTGCCGTCCGATTCGGATGCGCGCTTTTTCCTGCGAGCGCGCGCCCGATTCCCAGCTGAACGACATCTCGCCGCGCCGCTACATCATGTCGCCCGGCAAATTCGGCGCCTAGCCTTCGCTCTCGCGCAGCGGCTGCTTGTGCCGCACGCGCGCGACTGGCCGCCTACCGTGGCTCCGACTCACCCTCCTCGTCGCCATCAGTGCCTTCGTCTCGCTCGCGAGCTGCGCCAACGGACACCGAAATTCAGTTGCTCGCCAGCCTGTCGCCCGAGCGACAATGACGAATGGCGCCGTAGCGTGGAAAAAGCAAGAAACGAGCCGCTTCTGTTTTCGTGGTGCGTTTCGCCTGCAGCGTGCGTTGCGGCGCGCGCTTATCGCGTGATCTCTCTCTCTTTCTCTCTCTATTCCACGCAAAATCGCACTTTTCAAATCGGCAACCTTCGCGCCATATCGACCGTGTAACGAACGTCGGGCAGCAACGCTGTCTATTCGAGACTAGTCTCGTCGGCTGTAAGCATCGTGAGTCTCGCGCTTGAAAGACGCTTTAATGAAACGCTGGAATTGTGCGTTTTAAAAACGTGAACTTGCTCGAATGATTAGATCAAGCTTCTTTTACATTTTATCCTACATTTCATTTGAAATATTCAGAAAATCATTTATATTTCTATACTTATTTGTCCTTCAACTGATTTTTATTTGTTCAAATTATAAGTAATCGATAAGTCATCGGTCAAGATTACTCATTGTATTCGTGAAAATTGCATTTTATTTATATTACAGCTTATGGTACAAGGGCAAATTTCTTGAATTTTCTAATATGATAAGATTATAAGTATGTCACGCTAGACAAGATTTCAATACCCGTACATTTTGCAAATGTACATTGCATGATGCAATGGAAATTGAACATTTTGATATCATAATAAATTTTATTATGAAAATATAAAAAAGTATATAAACTATAAATTTCGTTTATAAAACAACTCGAAGACCAATTTTTTACTGACTACTACGCGATTTTGAAACGCTTCGCGCCGAATCATAAATAAAATGTTTCTTCTTCCAATTCGTCGTATCGATTTAATTGTTCATTTTATTCTCACTCTATATGGACCCGCATGAAAAAATTGGTCAATTTTTCAAGATTATCTTTATGGACCATAAAAAAAAGAATTATTCAAGTTTCTGTAACAATCAACGTATGGAATCGATTCAGCACGCAGGATAATATTTGACGAAAAGTAATTAGATAAAACCGTTGATATAAAGTGAATCAATTTTCGCCAAATCCATTCAATACCAGTTCAATGGCAGCCTGTACATCTCCATTGGTAATTGTTAGCGCTTGCAGATTGACCGCATCGTTTCGGAGTCCCATTTCGTGCATGATTGTTATCTGCCTTTGAACGTCATCGGGAGAAGATAACTCTTGATTTGTAACTGGTACCGATGTTGGTACTGGTACTGGTGTTGATGCTGCTGGAACTGAGGATGGAATGCTGTTCGTAATGTCATTCATAGCCGAAGTTGCAAAGGCTTGTTGCATTGCTTGATTGAACATTTCGAATGTAATCACTCCTCCACTGGTGACGTTACTTTGAGAACTAGTCGGTATGGATGGCAACGCATCGCTACTAGTATTTCCGTTTCCAGAAGTTGACCTTCGAGCTCTTTGGATTGCAGCAAATAGTTGAGCAGGGCTTATAATCGATTGACTTCTGGAATTGCTATTCGATGGTTGTGTTGAATCGGAAGATTGTGACGAGTCTGCGCCCATTTCTTCATCGTCACTCAAGTTTTCTAGACTTGATGAATTTCCAATATTTTGAGCACTGCCTGGTGAAGCGGCGGCATTGGCTGTCGAAACAGCAAAATTGTGAGCTTCGTCGTGAACAGCTGAAGCGATATTCTGGGCTGCTTCCAAAAGAGCAGGATGAGTTTTAGCAATCCTGAAATTTTTTGACACTTAAAAATAGCAATCGTTCTTAAATTAATGAATTTGAGTAATCGTGTGCTTACTTGTGTAGTGTTTCAGCATTTGTAAAATGGATTATTAAATCAGGATCTTGCAAAATCGCAATAGCAACTGTATCCTCAGACAATCCAGGAGAAGATGAAATAATATTTTTATGAAATCAGGTTTTT